TGGACGACTTTCACTGCCCAAGAAGCTGCTAAAACACCCCTTTCACAACAACCCCAAAACAAGCCTCCTCCAACTGAGGCATGTTTTCACTGAGCTGGTTCCGCTGCCCCTGGGACCCATGGCTGAGAAGCCTCCACTAAACCTGACGGACCCTGTGGCTTGGCCTTCGAAGGTTTCCGTGAGGTCCCTTGCAGGAATTCGAAGGGTTCTTCACCGAGATCGGCTTAAGGCTTACAAGGCTTGGGGTCCTGGTACAACTAATTAAGGGCTTTTAGGGTATGTATATATATACATATATATATATATATATATAGATATAGGGTTTAGAGGGTTCGGGGCATAGTAATTAATGTGGGGTTCCGGGGTTTGTTCTTGATGCCGCGCCAGTACGGTCGCCTGTCCAAATGCGTCGGTGGTTTCATTGATAGCCATGAACCACTACGAAATATGGGTTGCACGTATCGTTGTTCCTCCGGCCTGTTCGCATTCTCTTCAAGTTGTCGGGCAAACTGCAGGTTTGGCTACTAACTCAAATCAAAGGGCAGGCCTGTAGCCAAGAGACTCCAAGAGCTTTTAATTGGGCAGGTTAGACACATTAAGATATAAAAGAACCCTGAGTTTTTTCAAGTAATTAATAGTGCTTGATTGCAGGGTTTTTTTTGGATTTCTGGAAGCTTGCCAGGTTTGGGCACCAAATGGATCGGATGGCCTGCATCCGCAGCTGACGCGCGGTGGACAACTTGAGCTGATGCAGGCGCGCAGCCACACGGGTCGTGAGTCTCAATCCTGAGGGCGAGACCCCAGGCCCCAAGCAGAAGCCCTATATACCACACTCATAGACCTGACATCTTGAACCCTGTACTCTGTACTCCAAACCTGCAACCTTAGACTCAGCTTCGACGAGCGAAAAGTGTTGTGGGCTCATGTCGGGTTTAGGAGTTTCGGAGTCAAGGGTTTAGTGGTTTAGGGGGATTGGGGTTTATTGACGAGAGTTGGTTTCAAGTTTGCTGGTGTCCCACGAAGACCTTGAGAGTCCAGCTTGCCGGCATACAACCAAAGCTTGCGCTGAAGAGGGATTAGGGTTTAGGGTTGGTCAGTTGAACTCTTGCCTTAAAACGGGGCTGCGAGTTTCGTGGGCGCTGGCCGGCACCTCAGTCCGTGCTGAAAAAGGGTTGGGGGCTTTTTCCCGTCACACGCATCGCGCTGAGCACGGGTTTAACAAAGGGAAAGGATTAGGGACTTCTGTCTGTCTGGTGCTTGGTAGGGAATGGGGAAATGGATCCGTATAGTAGTCCCTATATACTCCCCAATAGTAGTCCCAATAATTCATTCCCCCATTCCCTCCTAAGAATAACCCTAAACCCCCAAACCTGTAAACCCTAAACCCCTAAACCAGACAGATTTCGGTGGCTGTGTGCAGTCTGATAAAACCCTTTTTGGGGATCTGGAGCAGCAGACCCTCGTGTTAAGAAGCTGAGTTCAACGGTTTAGGGTTTAGGATTTACTTGGAGGATCATGGGACTTAGTAACTATAGTTATATGTCCCTTGATTGGGGTTATAAGTAAAATATAAGTATAGTTGCCCCAATAATAACCCTAGTTACTAAGTCCCATGATCCTTTAAGTAGGGGCTTGGGGCTTAGACTTCAAGGGTCTAGGGTTGAGGGGTTTAGGCTTTATCAAACGGGAAAAGGAGCGACCCTTAATGGGGACCCCAAGAATGGGCTATATCATGGGTATATAATAGCTATTAAGGGTATATACCTAGGGGTCCTTATTAAGGGTCCCTCCTTTTACCCTTGGAGGTTTAGGGAGTTCAAGTTACGGTACTCTAGGTTCCCCAGTAGTACCTTTTCATTCTTGGGAGTTCCCTTATCAAAACTGAGCACCAGGATAGCCAGCTTATCAAAAAAAACACGCGAGGAACCCAGTCCTTCCAAAAGCTGACACGATTTGCAAAGTATCGATATCCCTATTCTATCCTATTCTGGTAGCGCGAACGCTAGACCTTACGCAAGGCTCTAAACCCTAAGGCCTTATAGACTCTTGGGGGCTGGACGAAGCCCTGGTTAAGAAATGATCGCACTAAACCCTAAAGCCTAAAACAGACCAGTATCGCTGCAGACCTTGTCCGAGTGTGCGTGTCAAACAAGCCTAAAACCCTACACTCCAAACCGTTGCAGGTCCTGCTCCGCCTCTCCGAACACTTCGTCTCCGCCAGCTGCGGGCTGAAGGAGTTCGGGTCTAGGGTTTAGGGGTTTAGGGTCGCAGCAGGCCAGTTGCAAAAGGGTTTAGGGGTTCAGGGGTTTAGGGTTTTGGGGTTAGGGTTTCACATAAGGGGCCTTAACAATAAAAATGCGGTGTTGGATATTCGTAATTACAAGTAGGGTGGTTCAGAATGAGTTTAGGACCTTGGGTTTGGGGTTTAGGGTGGTTCAGACTACCGGGTTGAGGGCTCGAGTATAGCAGGGTCGAGGGCTTAGGGCTTGGATGGGCTTAGGGTCTAGGGTTTAGGGTGTAGGGGTTTAGGGGTTAGGGTTTAGTTCAGAGTATTGGGTATAGGGCTTGGAGGTTCAGGGTACAAGCCGGGTTCATAGGTTTTAGGGATTGGGGTTGTTCTGTGTATAGGGCTTCGGATCCAGGGTCGGGTTGAGGGGAAAGTTTAGAGTTCAAGCGGCTCAAAGCTTGAAGCTTATTGTTCAAAGCGCAAAAAAAGTTGAGTTCTTGAGGCTTCAAGTTCAGCATTGAAGGCTCCGGTTCACATGAAAAGCCTTGGTGGTGGCTACAAATTCGACAGCAGAAGCGTAAATCTCTGAAAGCCGTCGGCCTTGAGTCCCTCAACACCTACAACCCTAAACCCGACATAAACCCTGAAACCCGCAACCCCCAAACCCTAAACCTGTTATACAGTAGCCTCAACTTCAAAAGAAGTCGTCCCCAAGGCCCGAAATTCAAACGCTGAAAGCCCAAACCTGAACCCCAAGTCCCCAAGCCTCCCATTCTCCGAAACCCTACTTTTTTCTCCCAAGCGCCGCGTCCCAAGCCCTACACCCAAAACCCAAAGCCCCTGCAAGTCACGAGGTCCGAGACCCTACGCCCTAAGCCCCACACCCAAAGCCCACCTATGGTCTCCATTGTAGTTCCTTGTTGGGGCTACCTTATGGGAACCTAAATATAAAATTGGTTAAACCCCCAAAAGGAACTACAAACCCAAAACGCAGAATCTGTGACACAAAAGGAGTCGAAGGGATTCGACGGCGTGAAGATCGTCGTTCTGGGTCCTTGGGTTCATATTTGGGGAGCATCTTCCTAGCGGTTCGTTTCGAGTTAGGCGGTTTATGTAATGTTTAGGGATTACTTTACGCTACCGCAAGCTACCTTTTTTTGTGCTAGATTCGCCTGATTGACTTTATCCGGAGGTTCTATGTCGGAACCCTACCAAAGTTTTCTTGTAGTTTACGGTAGGATGCAGGGATGTTCAGGGAGGACTGAAGTAATGAAGGCTTGGAATTCGAAAGGTTTGGGGCTTTGGACTTTGAAGCTTGTGGTTCAAACACTGAGGTGTCCAGTGGGTAGCCTTATTACAACATGGTATTTTGTAATGCAGCATCATATGACACAATATAAAATCAGTATAATAGATATAATGCAATCCCTTAATATCTATAGTATATATTACACATACATACATACATACATACATACATACATATATATATATATATATATATATATGGTACCCCCGCAAAAAAAACACCCCAACATATCCAAAAAGTCGGCGTGAGGCCAAAAGTTACAGATATGAGGCCCCGTAGAAGCCCCCCACCCCAAAATATCCAAAACGTCGGCGTGAAGCCAACAGTTGCCTATATGAGGCCCTGTATAGGGCCTGTGCTAGTGCACTGGGCCGAGGAACAACTTTGCGGACGAATCTTGGTTCCGAGGCCCAAGGGCGTGTTAGTTAACACGGGCCGTGTTAATTAACACGGCCCCCAGGAACCAAGAACCAAGATTCCTAGAAAACTTTCTGGGCCAATCTTGGTTCCCAGGCTTGGGCCCGAGCCGGTGTTAATTAACACGGGCCGTGTTAATTAACACGGCCCCTAGGAACCAAGAACCAAGAACCAAGATTCCTGAGAAACTTTCTGGGCCAATCTTGGTTCCCGCGCTTGGGCCCATATTGACGATGAGGTCCACGAACCAAGATTGGTCCAGAAAGTTTTCCAGGAATCTTGGTTCTTGGTTCCTGGGGGCCGTGTTAATTAACACGGCCCGTGTTAATTAACACGGGATCGGGCCCAAGCTTGGGAACCAAGATTGGCCCAGAAAGGTTTCTAGGAATCTTGGTTCTTGGTTCTTGGTTCCTGGGGTCCGTTTTAATTAACACGGCCCGTGTTAATTAACACGGGCCCGAAAATGACGTCAATCTTCTCTAGTTGAAATATGTTGAAATACTGATATCTCCAGCACAGGTTTGTGCTACCATCACATGAGCAGTCAGCTGCCACTGGCCCGAATATGACGTCAATCTTCTGTAGTTGAAATATCTTGAAATACTGATATCTCGAGCACAGGCTTATGCTACCATCACATGAGCAGTAAGCTGCCACTAGCGGGGAGGTGCAGTGGTAGACGAAGGTGGATGGCGGCATTGTGTTGTGGGCAGCCATCGCGACTTTCCAAAAGGATCACACGAGCAGTAAGCTGCCACTAGCGGGGAGGTGCAGTGGTAGACGAAGGTGGATGGCGGCATTGTGTTGTGGGCAGCCATCGCGATCTTCATGAACTCATAGGAGCAGAAGCTTCGTCCGTGCACCGATCGACTACATAAGCCGAATAGAGAATTTCATGCTGCAAACAATGAGTGGTGAACTTGGGCCATTCCGATCTATCCCATTCTCATCTACTCAATGCTGTCTGCTTCACCCACGCTGATCTTTCTCAGCGCTCAGTGCTCGGCTTGTAGTGACTGAAATCCCTGCCCGCCTCACATACAAAGCATGGCCTTACCCATGCGCCTGGCCGGTGAGATGGTGGTTCACCAAGGTGCCGCATACCTTCGCCTGGCTCCGGAAGCTGCTGCGGCGGCTGCTCCACAAGGCCCGGCGGCTGCTCCGCAAGGCCCAGACCTTGACGCGACAAAGCCACCGACTCACGGCGACATCATGAGGAATGTGAACAGCGAGTTCATCGTTCTCCACAACACTCGCCGTGGCCTCACATCGGACGAACACCGCAGTAACATCACCACCGTCCAGCGAAGCTTGGGCCTGCCCGTGGGTGTTGTCAAGGGCGGCTGGAACAAAGAAGCGGAGCATCGCTTGCTCGTGCTCTTGCGAAAAGCCAAGCGCATCCGGAACAAAGTTCCAGCCCTCATGGACGTAGCTCCAGAACCAGCACATCAGGCCTTAGAGGACGCCCCCTCGAGGAGGACAACCCCATCGAGGACGGCAACCCCCCTCCAGAGAACAACGAGCAGCAGATGAAAGTGGAAAATCAGAACATGCCTACGTCATCTTCCTCCTCATCGTCGGACTCAGAGAGCTCCTCGGAAAAGGTTTCGCTCTCGGACTACGAGCGTGTCCAGATGGCCCTGGATGAAGCGGTGGCTGAGAACAATGAGTACCGGGAGGACATCTACAACAGGGACATCATCATCAAGGAGTTGGAAGAAGAGCTGCGGGTGACCAAGCGCAAACTCGCAGAGTACGAGTCGGAGGAGGATGACAGTGACACCGACTAGTGAGTAGGCCGAGGGAACCATCAGGCGGTCTTGGTAAGTCCAAGGCGTTCTAGAGTGTGTGTTATAGGCGGCATTGGCAGGAACACGTGGCACCAAAAAAAGCATTTATTCCGTCTCATCGCCTGCAGGGCAAGGTGTTTTCAGCATCAGACGAAATCCTCTAGTTTAGCCTAAAGTCTGCAGCCATGGCTAACTTGTTGGACGAGACTATGGACCAGTTCGGTGGCAAGGAGCACCAGTATGAGGCCTTATCCCTTCCGAAGTGCGGCTTTGTGCACACATCTGCCATAGAACATCCTGTCTCAGTCAGCGATTTTGTTGCTGACGTGTGCAGACGACCGGATGGATTAAAGACCTGCACCATGGCCTTTGACATCCACTGGAATGTTACTGAGTTCGGCAATGTTGCCCGGCTGGGTGAGATCATTCAGGACAGCCGCTTAGATGAGCTACCGGAAAACATTCGCCTCAAAGGCCAGCTGCCACGCGGTTCCAAATTGGGGCTTGTCGTCCACAATATGGAGGACGGCGCAATGCACATAGTGAAGCTGTTGTACTTTGCGGACAAGACAAACATCCAGCAGATCGTGCAGCTGTGCGGGGGCCAGTGCTATGTACCAATCTTCAAGGCTGGGCCATGGACACTCAAGAAAGCCATTCAGTCCCTCATCGATCGTCTTCCAGGATACCACGTTGATTGGGCTAGCATCTCTTCCAAAGGCACTGGTTTGAAGCGTGCAGAAACATCGCAGTGGAACCCGGAGACTGATGAACTTCGCAAAGGTGTCGCTTTCATAAACCAGCGAGCCCCAGATTGCGATGCTGAGAACCAGCAGTACGTCTGGATTCTTACGCACATCGAGCCAGACTCCGGCTCGCCCATAGCAGGCTGGCCGGAGTCGAAGGTCCGCATCATGGCGCAGAACAAGGCGCGAGGGCAGGCCGGTGCAACTGCTGCCAGATTCCCGTTCACGACGCGGAGCCTCAAGCCCTTCATGGCTGATTTCCTCCTGCCGATACTGTATCCGCTTCTGCTTAACTATGGCACCCTCACCCTGGGTTGGCCTGGTGTTGGCAAAACCCCCATGCTCATCGTCATGGGTTTGGCCTGCGAGCCATCGCGTCCAATGACTTGGAAAGTGAGCACGAACCACCCAACGACAATGGCCGTCGAAACATCACTTCGGAGGAGTTCTTCAAGCTTGTTAGTAAGTTCTTCGCTGGTCATAAACGTGCCGATGATCTTGCTGTCCTCAAGCGCTCCGTCGTCATGGTCTTCGGACAGCATGCCATGTATCTTCGCCTGCCAAATCAAGATCCTGACGCCATCGTTCATCGCATTAGCACCGATGACGGATCTGTTCAGTCCTCGCGACAAGCCGCAGTATGCCAAGTACAAGATCGGGATAGAAGAGCTTCCGCCCACCTTCGCAGAAGATGTTGCTTCGGAGCAGAAAGCTCTCCAAGACTCAATGGCTTCGATGGTCCAGTTCAAAAGCCCTGACCGGTACTTAGAGCAGGCAAACAAACGCATCGGCGACAAGATCTCTGGCTTCCTTCGCTTGCCTGCAGGTTTTTGGGACCAGCACGTTAGCTCAGATTCCGACACCGGACCCCCTCCCACCATCCATGGCACGCCCTTGACTGCCACGGCAGCCGGGCCACCCAAACGTTTGGGTACTTTCGTGTACCCGACCCCCGCCCGCAGGGTCAAGACCAAGTCCAGCCCCGCTGCTCCAATCAACATTAAGATGAACAGGAGACTCTTGCTCAGCCGGGGGAAGATGATCTTGGTCAGGAGGACCCTGACGAGGAAGCTGCCCAGTACCTGAACGCGTAGGGCCTCTATAGTGGCCACGTAGATGTGTGCTGATCAGTTGATTTTGGCTACAGAAGGCGTGTAGCCGGGTTCTACGGAACGGTTGCCAGAAGGAGCTGACCGATGCGTAGGTCCGAAATTCATGGTGTTGTGCTCTTGCCTGTTCCGCATGTCATTTAGTACTGGCATGATGATGCTGTGAAGCACTTTATACCGTCCACAGAAGTGTCAGGCTGTATTCTATAGTCGCCTTTAGGATCCCTTGTCTTGCTTTCTCCACAGACCATATGGCTGGACGCAAGGTCTGCAACCCGCTGGTCGCAAAGCGCAGTAAACAGCGCCTCATCGCCAAACGCCCCGCCAGCAAGAAGTCTAAGACCAAGGAGTACCAATCCGTCAAGTATGTCCGGGTGAAGGGCGCTGTTCCTGGTCGTGGACTTCGAAAAGAACAGGCTACTTGCTCGCGATCCCTTCCAGAACTCATCAAGGCGTCGAATGATGACATCGTCCGCATGCTCACCAAGGATAAGATGCTGCCGGATTGGTCCGGTATGCAGTGTCCTAGGTGTGAGAAGGGGACGCTCTCCGACTTGATGAAGTCCCCCCAAGGTGAGCTCAAAGACCGTTGTAGTCACAAGAAGTGTCACATCTACATGTCCCCGCAACATCTTCATCCTTTCTTCACTGATGGCCGGGGTTCCTCGGCTACTCCACTGCAGACACAGGCTGCTGTTCTCTTTGTGAAGTTGCAGAACGTCTCCAATGCTGCCGTGCATCAGGTCATGAACGTCAACCACAAGTTCACGGAAGACATGGCCACTAGGTTGGCCTACTCACGGCAGGAGTATGTCATTGCCAAGCAGAAGGAGATCCGACTTGGAGGTCGCAAGACATGGGTAGACGTGGAGGGTGACGAGGCCAGCTTCGCAAAAACCGACATCAGCAACATCGATGATTCTGTGGATTCCCAGAAGCCTGTCTTGTGGGAGCAATGGTGCGGCTTGATCGAGCTGGGACGACCGGAAAGCTTGATCCTGGAGCGGTTGAAGCCACCCACTACGGAGAAGCGAGCCCCAGGACCAGGTCCCATCCGGAAGATTGAATGGCAGCCTCTGGGTAAGAAGTATCTGGAAGGACGCAACATCATCTTCCATACGGATTCGGCCCGCAGCTACAAGACACGGCTCGAGGGGCTCAAGCACGACAATGTCGTCCATTGTAAAAAGAGGGTGAAGGTGAACGGGAAGTGGAAGTGGCAGATGCCTAACTATGTCAAGGTGACGACCCACACAGTGGGCAAGAACAAGACGCTAAAGACAAAGGCTGGTACCCAAATTCTCGATCGCGCCTGGAGGTACATCAAGGACCGACTTAGTCTCAACAAGAGCACCGGAGCTGGTTCCAAGCTCCTTCGCGCCCAGATCCAGGGGGCTCAATTCCAATATTGGATGAAGAATGAAGACCCATGGAAGGCCACTTGCTTGCTCAGCCAGTTTATCATGAAGAAGTTCATGAGATCCGCCTGAGCGTTTTGGAATACCATGACTGATTGTCTGGTAACTTAGCACGGCCGATATAGCCTGTTGTAGATCATGAATGCGACCGGACCGCATTCGAGTTCGTCTCTATGTACATGCGCGAGGATGATCCCGGGTCACAAACGTGTCCTCGTTCCACTGTCCATGCAACCTCTCTGCCACGATGACATGTACCTGCACACACACACACACACACACACACACACACACACACACACACACACACACACACACACACACACACACACACACACACACACACACACACACACACACACACACACACACAACCACACACACACACACACACACACACACACACACACACACACACACACACACACACACACACGCACGCACACTCTCATCGGTCAGGCTTCTGGGGTGGGTTTTGGAGGGGGGGTAGCATATATATATATATATATATACACATATATATACATATATATACATATATATATATATGCTACCCCCCTATATATATATATATATATATATATATAGATATAGATGCTCCAATGGCGTAGCAACCAGAACCCGGAGGTTCAGCTCCCATGCTCAGGGCGGGCGGATGTAGGGTTCACTAGGCGTTGGGGTTTAGGGGTTTAGGGTTTAGGGTTTGAAGAAGCGGGGGAAAGGGAGCTCTTGCTGTAACCGGGCTGGACAACGAGGCCTGCTGCAAGAAAGGGGTTTACGGGTTAGGGTTTTATGTTTAGGGTTTAGGGGTTTGGGTTTCAGGCTCTAGGATTTAGGGTTTTGAGGCCAAGGGTTTAGGCTGTGCTTGTCTCCTTGTCTTGCACATCCTGCGATAGTGAATCTGGATAGTTCGAAGTTTCAAAAGATTAGGACCCCATCATAATGAGGAATCCTTTGTTGCAGGGCTCCTGACATTCCGCAATTCTCAGGGTGTCTCAACCACGTGTTTAAGCAAAGTCTGTTTGCTATTTCTTGGTCCTGGGCCGGCATCGGGCAGATCAGAGACAAGACCTTCAACACTGAGCCCTAAACCGAGAGGGGATGATGACGGACGCTCAGCCCCAAATCGAGACAAGTTTCAGTAGATAGGGTTATGAGCGAGGTAGCCACAGTCTCTAAAGCCAATCAAGGTACCTATACCCCCACTTACTAAGCCCCCTGAACCTTTATGTACCCCCTTGACACTATTGGCCGAGTTTTGACTAGTACCTCTCTTAGGGTCTCTTCATGTTCTTATACCATAAGAACATGCCAAAAGCCCGGCTTTTGGTCAACGTATTACGGCCGCTATGGTAAACCGCTTGAGGAAAGATGACTTGCTAGATTTTGTCTTTCAGGTGCTATTGCTGCTATCGCCGACCGGGTTCTGCGCATCCGCACGGCACCCTGGCAGACCTAAACCCGAAACTCCTACCCCGAATGTCAAGTGAGACTTATAGGTTGGCGACTTAGCAAGTAATTTTGGAAGCATAGTGCAGCAGCAGCAGCAGCAGGATTTCGGCAGCAGACATTTTTTTCGAGGTGAAGGTACTTTGCCCTGAACCCTGAACCCTTCAGGCTGCTGTCGAAAACGAGCGATCGAAAGCAAACAAGTACCTACCCATCCCCCATCGAGTGGTACATAGGTCGTCAGGCAGCGCACCGCAACAGGTGTGCTATCCGATAAGGCTAAACCGCAAAAAATCCTCAAACCCCTATAAACCCTAAAACCGAGAGAATCCCTATAAGCCCTAACCCTCTAAACCCGTATAATCCCTATAAGCCCTAACCCTCTAGACCCGTATAATCCCCATAAGCCCTAACCCTCTAAACCCGTGTAACCCCTAAATTAAGCCCTAAACCTTTAAACTCGTACATTCCCTAAATTAAGCCCTAACCCGTATAATCCCTAAATTAAGCCCTAGACCTTTAAACCTGTAAAATCCCTAAATTAAGTTCTGCCGTTGGCTCCGCTCAGGTGCTTCCGGGCATCCCGAAGCCGCAGGGCGACGGGCCGATAGAGGCAGATTGAACTGGAGCCATACTCTCAAAGGGCAAAAGGAGGGACCCGTAATAAGGACCCCTAGGTATATACCCATAATATAGCCATTATATACCCATTATATAGCCCATTATAGGGTAGGGGTCCCCATTGAGGGTCCCTCTTTTCCCCTTTGATACTCTTAGAGTATGGCTCCAAGAGCTTAGAGTCTCACAGGTCGCAGGGTGTGTTTCGGGCTTCTGCTATTGCGGGCTTTGGCGATTGGGGGTTTCGACTAAGCATTAAACCCCAAACCCGACTCTATGTTAAGTAGGGGCTTCAATGCTTTGCTATTATAGACTTTGGGGAGATTCTAGGACATACTTATGTAGGGGTTTTATGGGGCTTGTGCCATGTAAGCAGACATGACCAGTTGTCGATATCTGGTAGAAGAGGAAGCCGTATCCCTGAACCGAAACCCGTCCCAGTTCATGATGAGCCCTTAAACCTAAGCCCCACCCTAAACCCTAATCCCCACTTATACTGAAAGTGAAACTCCCCCTAGTTGCGTTTCTCTCAACAGACTCCGAACCACATGCCTCGCCTGGATTGTCCGAGTTTGAGCGCCGAAACCCCATCCCCTCAACCCACTCAGCCTTATAGACCCCTTATTGTCGCTCTTACCCTAAGGGTCCAAAGGACCCAATAATTGGGTACTCTGTTTGAGGATAATACTTATGTAGGTTAGGATTTCGGAGAGTTTTTGATTATTAGGTACTTGGACCCTTGGGGTTATAGCCCCCTTTGAAGGAACCCTAGTCTAATTGTTAAGGTCCCTATATTAGATCCTGAGCCAGGAAGCTTCCAGGAACTAGAGAACCTTGTTTGGGTAGTATAGTCCCTATATAATCCCTATATAACCAAAAAGGTTAACCTTTAGTTCCCGATGATACCAGCCAAGTACCCTAAAAACCCTAAACCCTAACCCCCCTAAACCCTAAACCCCCTAAACCCTAACCCCATGATACCCGACAAGTAGGGAGAGAGCCAGCCAGGCCGAAGCAGAGCCGAATCCGAGCACGGTGTCTGAGCTCCTGAACGGTGTGGGCGCGAAGAACTGGAAGCTTCAAGCTGATACAGGATTTTCCGAAAATGAGGGGTACCTTACTTTAGGGTCTGTATAATGAGAATCCTACTTTCTCGATTAAGGTACTATATTACGGTCCCCTCTTTCCGGAAACACCAATATAGGGCTTCTAGGATTTAGAGGGGCCGGTTTTCGGGTAAGTTGCGTAAGTTCACTGAGACTTCTTGATATATGCCCTATAAGTGGGTAGGTATCACAGAGTTAACGTATGTTAAGGTAAGACCTAGGGACCTAGACACAGTTGCGCCGGCTCTCTGATAGCATTCCGTGAATAAATAAAGAAACTAAAGGCCCTTAACAACACCTACCGCAGGTCCCTGGGTGGTGGCTGATGTTGTTTCGGTAAGGGGAGGTTTCCTAGATGGCGAGTATGAGCGAACCCGGCATGGGGGGTGGGGTAGCCTTTCCGGTGCATAGCTTTGCGGTGCTAGGGTTTACAGTAGGGTCTTTCCATTTTGCAGGGGTATAGGGAGTTGGCTCAGGGAGGGTAGCTCTCTTTGACTGCATAGGCTCTTATGTATCGGAGCTCATTGAACGCTATCCCACACCCCAAGCCGTAAGCTTCAAGCCCTACAGACCCTGAGCTCACGAAAACGGGAGCCTTCAAAACAAAGAGCATCATCTGTTCTATGTTGTTGCACCCTCAAACAATCCTTGTTACTTGCCCTTATAACAACCCCCCTTATAGCAAAGAGCAGCCGAGCAAGGCCATGGCTGAAATCTTGGAAGCAGCACCCTAAACCCTCACAACTGTGAGCTTTGAAACCGAAGCTCCTTCTTCTAACATATGTTACCTGAACTACCCTGCAATGCCGGCCTCGTCCTTGCTAAGTAGGAGGGGAAAAACCTCACAAATCGAGAAGAGTACCAAACCCTAAACTGTCTGGTTCTTAGTCGGGAATGGGAATGGGGGAATGGATCCCTATAGTAGTCCCTTTTGTAGTCCCCATAATCCATTCCCCCATTCCCTACTAAGCACCAGGGACTAAAAGAGCAGCTGAGGAAGGCCATGGCTGTGGATCCCACCTCTTTCATGCGACAGTCCGAGACGATCGAGGCCTTAGCGCTTTCGGCTTAGAGTTGAGGGTTAGGGGATGGGAGTTTAGGGTTTTCGAGATTTACGTTTGAACTTAGTGGGGCTTGTTGTTTTTTGCAGATGTTCCCGATCGAAACTGACAGGAGTCGTGATTGTTGCTAGTAGTGATGGTTCAGGAGTTATGGTCGCACCAGGCGATGGAAACCTGCTTTGCGACCAAGTGGTGCTAACTGAGCTGTATGCAGCGAGACCTTTAGAACACCAAGCCCGGAATTCTACAGCCTCAGTTTTTTCATGCCAGAGGCCACGACGCCCGAGATCAGCGTCGCGCGCACTTCGGTGGCCAGTTACTTCACGGAGGCCGGATCGTGTGCTGATGTCAAGGCAAGTAGGTCGTGGTCTGACAACAGAGCTTGCTGATCCTGAGCCGTGAAATCCTGATCCTGGCTTCAAGATACCAGTTTTCATTGAAACTGTAATTAATTCGTGCAACTATGAAGCTCAAAAGCCTTGAGCCACAAAAGCCTGAATCCAGGACTTCGTTTAAGGAAAAGGGCCCTGAAAATCCAAGGCTCGTAGCCTTGGCGTTCCCGCAAGGCTCTTGAGAGTTTTGGGGGCTTATAGGGTTTGGGGTTTCTAGGGTGGAGGGTGGCCTCATGTACAAGTTGAAGCTTTACCTGGATGTGTCCGAGTGCGAGTGCTTCCTACAGCGAGCGACACTCTGCCCTAAACCCTCAATCCTTCGGAAATGCAAACCCATGGCCATCAGGTCAAAAAGAGCTTGGATGTTCCAAGTGGCAAAGACCGTACTCTCTTCGATTGGGACCAGCATGGCTGGATGATGTGGGTTTCGAAAGAAGCAGGCCTGACACGGGCCTTTATTTGAGTGCTTACGCTTGCACGGGTTGAGCGGTGACCGCAAGCCCTGATTCGCGTTGTTGATGCCTCTCGCCTGTGGAGCTGTAGCAGCATCCTTGGTGAAGTCGTTCTAGTCTTTCGCGTGCTGGCAATCAGCAATTCAAAAACCCTTCACCGCCACTTTCGGCATCGTCATCGTCAACATCCTTCAGCTCATGATGATGATGACCATCATCATCAGCATCATCATCGTCATGGTGATCGTCATCCTCATCGTGGTCACCATCTTCATCAATAGTCCTAGACTATCTCTTGCTGGCATCGCATTTCGGGCGGTTCTTCAGATCCATACTGTAGGCACCGATGCCTTATTTGTACACCTGTGTACAAGCCTTAAGCCCCACGTGATGTTTAGGCTTCCAATTTCATGCGATATAGCAGCTTGAATACATAGTAAACCCTCTGTAACCACTATTCCTCGAGCTTTCCGAGTATACTTGCTGATCTATCCAATCTATCCTCAATCCTCCTTCTACTGGCTAAAGCTCCTCGGCTACACTCCGTTTTTTCTCAACCGGTGCCTGTGCAGCTCCGCAGGCTCCCAAGGTCTCTTAGGGGTACTTAGAAATAATTGCTAATTTTTGGTTATTATAATCCCTAAGAAAATTATAATTGTTGCTAGGGTTCTAAGTTCAGTATAGGTCTTCCGATACCTTGGTTTCAGGGTTTTTGTGTTCGGCGTTTGGGAATGATCAAGAGCTTAAGCAGAGAATCTTTGCAGGTTTCCAAAAGCTCATCTATGGGGTTGCACGAATGCCGATGTGTTTATGGCTTAAGGTGACTAGGCGCAGTTTCAATGGATTTGACTTTTGGAATCTGAGACCGAGAGATGCCTCACAAGTTTGCCCGCCTTCACCTCATTCCGCCCAAACCCTGGGGCCCCTGGGGGGGGGTTTAGGACTCAGGGTATCGAAACTCCCAACCGACAAGGCCCGCAAAAACATAGGCCCGAAACACGCCCTGCGACCTCTAAGCTCCAAACCCGTAATCCTAGGACGCATGAACCCTGAATCCTCAACCCCTGAGCCGTTGGCAGGCTTGAAGAAGTTCGTGCAGGCCTGGCCTTAGAAGCATCTTAGCATCCCCTGCAAGGAGTCTCTGGGGTTTTTTCGGGTATATGGGATTTAGGACCCAGGGCCTAGGGCTTCAGGGGCTTGTTGTGTTAGGGTCAGAAATTTCACGCAGCCCTACGCAAGAGTTGGCACCGACACCCAAGGATCAAGACCTGAGCAGAGCTTTCAAAGAGCCCTAGCCGTGAATGTTAGGAGGTTTGGGGTTTAGGGTTTAGGGTTTAGGGTTTAGGGGTTTAGGGGTTTAGGGGTTTAGGGTTTAGGGTTTAAGGTTGGGCTCAAGACTTCAAGACTTCGGTTGTTGCATTGTGGCGTACCCTCCTCTGCAGATGCCTACCGGGCCCGACAATCATAAATCATGTGAAACCCTAAGCCTAAGCCTTAAACCCTAAGCCCTAAGCCCTAAGCGGAGGCGATCTGTGCCACACATCTGCTTCAAGCTGGAGGGGACTGGGCCCAGTTGGCTGCAGGCCTGACCCTGTGGCAGAAAGCAAGGTTGGTCATGATTCTGTCAAACCCCAAGGCTCCAAAGGACCCAATAATTAGGTACTCTGTTTTAGGATAGTAGTTATGTAGGTTAGGATTTCGGAGAGTATATGATTATTAGGTACTTGGACCCTGGGGGAAACAGCGTGGTTCCCAGGACGTAGAGGAGACTTGAAGGGCTTGTTGAGTTCACATAGCGGCTTTTTAGCAGATGGTTCTCACATCCGCATAGGGCCACCATTGCCATCCTAAGCCCGAAACCCTAACCCTTGAACCCTAGAAACACTACCTAACCCCTAAACCCTAAACCTTTCTTGCTGGCCAGGTGCCGATCCCTACTTAGCCGCCGCCTCAGATCTACCCCACCCAAGTCCAGCATCTGCATAGCTGAGATAAAGGTAGGTAGGATTCTTGATCCCTAATGCTCAGACTCTGATTCGGGATCAACCTCTAGAGCCCTCGGATGAAGGCAAGATCTCCAGGGTTCTGGAGTTCTTCTGCCAGCTGAGGTGCACACTTGGCCAGAGTTTCAATGCCGCTTCGCTGCGCAGGGGTAAGGGTTTACTGCTAAGAGGTATCGACTCCAAGGATAAAAGGAGGGACCCTTAGTAAGGACCCCTACGTAGGTATACAACGTTGCACAATCTAGCCATTATACACCCCTTATGTAGTTCTGTTGTCACAAGGTCTATCTCTGGCTAGGAATTGTCCAAGTTCCGGATGGCAGGTCTGAGAGAAGCGAGACCCAAATCCTCCAATCCCACCTCAGGTTATCGCGACATCGTTTTCTATTGGAAGTACTTCCTGTGCACAGACCTCCGTGTCTTCCCAAAGTGCAAGGAGACTTGACCAAGCTTGGCTGTATATACTGCACGGGTCCGGTATCTTCTATAGCATTTTGTGTGGGGACTGCAGGGGGGACACGGTTACTGAGCGCTATATTTCAATTTTGCGATATCGGGCTTCTCTGGGGACTGGTTCAATGCTGCGATGGCCCTGGCTGTCTCAAACTGCCTTATGCACACCCCGTGGAATCTGTACGAGACTCGGGATGTTTGCTTAAGCCCACCTATATAGTACCCACATAGTATAGCCATAGAACCCTACAGGGACCCTGGACCGAAACTCCGAAACAGCTCTTTCGGTTTCTAGCCCCAGTTCCTCAACTCGAAACTCCTCGAATCCAAGTCCTCCAGCCCCATGCGCAGGCTCAAAACCTAAAATACCTAAACCAAAAACAAAGTCTGCGAGCCGCGAAGAGGGTTTTGTTCGTCGGAAAATTCCAGGAGCTCGCGCCGCAGCTGGCTTACCTCAAGTGGCAAGTGGTGGACGAGCAGAAAGCCTACGGCTGTCCTCCTAATCGAGGTGCCGTGCATGGAGGGAGGGAAATGGAGAGAGAGAGAGAGCGAGAGAGAGAGAGAGAAAGAGAGAGAGAGAGAGAGAGAGACAGAGAGAGCCAGCCGAGCAGAGCGCAGGAGAATAATGGCTGCCGGTAATCTGCCTTGTGTCCTCGTCTTGAGGATCTTGGGTATGATTCGGGGTGCATCGTCAGGAGTTCCTTAGTCCCATTCGTTAGCTCATCATTGATTTTGCCTGTCCTCTGAGTAGAACTGCTACTACAAAGAGTATCATCCTCTTATAGTCCCTCAAGAAAAACTAACAGACTACACCCTCAAAAAGAAACTGTTCTAATTATGGAGGCTCCTGCGATTTATTAGCTTCCCTTCGCAGGTAAGGTCTTCATGGTGCAGGGCTTGGGCAAGGCACGGGCTCTGTCCTTTTGTCCAACTCGGCTTGAAGATGACTAGAGGGGCCTTAACAAATACCTATAGGGTTCACAGCGGTCTATAAGGGATACTACAAAGGTATAGTTATGGTATAATATACCCCCCAAAACCCTATTCTGATGACTAAGGCCCCTGGAGTTGGGGTTCGACGGGCCGCTTGGTGTAGGTTTCGGGGCTTAGGGCTGTTTCGGGATTAGGGCTTAGGGCTCATATTCTGGGGTATAGGTTGATCGACTCAAGTCCGTGTAAGAGAGAGAGAGAGAGAGAGAGAGAGAGAGAGAGAGAGGTTCTAGGGCACCTTGTGGAATCCTACCGAGAGGCTATAAACGAGTGTAAATAGTTGGGGGGGATCTAGGTCGGTGCAAGATTTAGGGTTCGGGTGGAGCCTTGTAAGGGTGTCGGGTTGTTGAGGAGTTTAGTACTACTCACGTTCGATACAAAGGCCGTTGTGAATAAGGACAGAACAGCGATTGTGAAGGAACCGTAGTCTGGAACCAAGCATCACAGGACGATGAGTTGGGGTTTGGAATTACTAGACACAATCATTACGTCTCTTTTATCCCTCAGTACGTGTAGTATACCCAAGAGACACAAAAGCCCCAGCCAAATCGAATGGCCGAGCGGATGAAACTGTTTTATAGGCTTGTCGCAAGGAAGAAACACCCAGAAACTTAGAACCTTTATGGCATCCTTCAGAGCCCCTATACAGACCCCGTTTGGAGGATCCAAAAAGTAGATCCAATAATGGGGGTTCCTATAAAGTACACTTAGTAGTATAGGGCCCCCAAATTAGGGGATCTACTTTCTAGATTCTCCCGGGGGTCTGAGTATATAGTCTTGGTTTATGGAGCCCTTAAGAAGACAAGGTAGGGCTTTGGGACATTATATATTTTCCCTTATTGGGCTTAAGAGGATCTTATTTACTAACATTTTTCAAAAGCTTCAGAAGCCCCACCTAGAAGACTCTACCTCTCATCTCGTAAGAGCAGGGTTTAGGATTTCGGGATCCCGGCTCGGGGTGTCAGCGCTGAGAGTCGTCAGGGTTTATGGTGGGTCTACCCAGAGCCTCCAAAACCCCTTGATTAAGGAATAGACCTTAAATCATATAAGGGATCGTATTGTAATTTTAAGGTATATTCCTTAATTGAGGGGTTTTGGAGGCTCTGGGTAGGGGTTTCGGTGGCTTTGGGTTTAAGGCTTTAGGGTTTTTAGGCTTTTGTAAGGGTATACAGCCGTGTAGAAGCCTAAGGCCCTGAACCCTAAACCCTGAGTGTCCATGACCAGGACCATCTCCACCAACCTGCTTTTATGGAACCCTCAAAGACTCCACCTCCCATCTCGCGAGAGTAGGGTTTAGGATTTCGGGATCCTATACCCTGATCGTAGACCCTGAACCCTAAACCCTGAACCCTAATTCCTAAACCCTCGGCTAATGTGCTGAGATGTGTGCCAAAGTGCTATCGAAGGGACTGGGATCCTCGCTGTGGTATGTCCGAGAGCGAGTGCTGAATTCCTAAACCCTGAACCCTGAACCTTGAACCCTGGACTCTACACCCTGAACCCCTGGACCCTGACACCCTGAACCCTAAACCCTGAACCCCGAGTGCCCATGACCAGGACCATCTCCTGAAGCACGACACGCCCCCGCATCGCCCGAAGCCGCCTGCATCCGGCTTGCGCTGGCCATCGGCCTCTTGGGGCGGACGTGAGGTTTTGATTTCCTTTACGGGATCTATAGGGGGTTCCTTTAAGGGTTCTTGTAAGGAATCTATAGGAGTTTCTTTAAAGGTTTTTTTTAAGGAATCTATAGGGGTTCCTTTGAGGGATCGGGTTTAGGGTTTTTGGGTTCAGGGCGGGCTTTTTGGTATCAGAGCTTCTACTGTAAGATGGCCTTAAGCTTGTGGACAACAGGCTCAGTTAGTGCACCGTGAGAAGGGCCGAGCCTCGGCCGAGTAGGCGAGAAAGAGCGAGTCACGTGGACGCTTCTGGGGTCAAAGGAGCCAAAAATAGATGCTTGGTAGTTGCTACTCAAAATTCTTTGGGGATCCTTGTTGTAGGTATACGATACTGCTCAAAGCGATATTCTGTCTACTGAATAAGGGGCCCAGCTTAGATCAAGATGCTACACCTTCGACCAGAGGGCTTTCTAGTCGAGTGGGTGCCCAGTGAAGGCTTTGCCTTCAAGGACGAGGGTTTGGGGCCAAAGTTCAGTCCTTTAGAGTTTACAGGATGTGCGGATTTAGGTGCGGAGGTTCGTCAGAGCGAGTTTACAAAATTGGCCTCTCTGTTCAAGCCTTTGCACCTTGGCCGGGAGCTCCATGCACTCTTCTAATGCCCCGCAGTCTCTCTCTTCAATTGAAGCCAAGTGTGTTGTTGCTGCTATACATTGCTAAACTGCCATTATTAGTATTAGCATTATTATTATTTTTTTTTGTTATTATTATTATTATGATTATAATTATTATTAGTAGTTTGAGCTGCAAGGCTCACTGTCAGCCTCCCCTATGGACCACCCAGCAAAGACAACATCGCACAAATGGCCAAGCTAGGCCGCGCTGCCGTCCCACCACACGAAGACCCCGGTGAGCGCATCAGATGCAATTTCAGATGAGTGCACGGAGAGTTCTACGCGAAACCAAAGCCAGGGCCAAAAGCACGGGTTGAGCTTCTTAAGACCTCAAACCGAACTTGAAACCGTAGTTAGGCCTTGAACGCAGCGCAGGCAAAGAAACCGAAACCAAATACTTGCCTGCATTGAAACAAACCCTACCTAAACCCTAGGGCCCTAGGGTTCGTTTCAACGTCATTGAAAGCCGGAGCCTCATAAACTACTAGCTAGCCAGATTAACCATGAATTAGCTGCCACACTTCAATTGCTAGTTGCTCATGTACCCTGTGAACCTCGACCTTTTTCTGCGCCCTGAACTCTAAAATCTAGAAGTTCTGCTTAAACCCTTAAAACCATCTAAACACTAAACCCTATAACAGTAGACCATCGAAGCCCTAAACCCTAAGTCCTAAGCCCTAAACCCTTAAATCCATCGGAGCCCGAAGCCCTAGCCCTGAGCCGGAAAGATCAAGCTTTAAGATACGTTCAAAAAAAATGCTGAATATTAGGGTTCCTTTAAAGGGGTCTTTAAGAGCTACTATAAGGGATCTCCAAGGGTACTATAATAAGGCCTTAAGATACGTTCAAAACCCCAAGGGTCCATGAAGTTTCCGAAGATTAGGGGTACCTTTAAAGGGATCCAGAGTTCCTTAAAGGGATCTATAAGGGTTCTAGAAAGGGTTTAGGGTTTAGAGTTTCCGATAAATAGGGGTGCCTTATTTTGGGGTCCTTATTATAAGGATCCTATTATTTAGGGCACTATATTAGGGTCCCATTATTTTCGGAAACTCCCATATATAGAGATACATGCGCCCCAAAGAACCTATATAGGGACCACATGAAGGCCAATGTAAATACTATATGAGTACATGGACCCTTAGGGAAAGATATGCTGAATAATGTAGGAATCTGATTCAGAAGCCCTGGGCCCATAACCCCCCAAAATAGTAGGATTCATATGCAAGGAAGCCTAAAAAAGGCCTAAGCTGTCTTAAACATGTTCCTACATACATTATTACAGTACCCTTGTAGATCCCTTATAGCAACCCTTATAGACCCCTTCAAAAGAACATTAATGAACCCTGAAAGCCTTGCAGTAAGGAGCTACTGGGTTAGGGCTACACAGGCATGCGAGGTTCAAGATAGACGGACTATACAAAAGTCTCCTTAGGAATCATTATTATTATGGTTCTAAGGGGGGGTATAGTATATGTCTGAATGAAAGGTCTCGTTGGAGGGGCACTCCAGACCCTAAGCAGTAAATTCAAAAACCTTGATGGCCTAAAGCACTATAATCCCCCAAATCATCGTGGGCAATTGCAAACATTCGTGATGCCGTGATCGGATGTCTGTGCATGGCATGAAGCAATCCATCCAAACCTGTTGAATTTTGCTCCGAAAGTAACGAGATTTTGTAAGACAGGCCAGAGTCGTAACGAAGGATTGGAGCTTCGGGTTCAGGGTACGTACTACTAGCAATGCGGGATAATTCGAGGGTTTAGAGTTTAGGGTTTAGGGTATACCAGCATCTGCCGGAAAATGGCCCTTTCTGTCCGGACCCCAGGGACGGAAGACGACTTGCTTTACATGCGCACTCTGCCCACGTTCAACGAAATGCTGCGAGCATCGGATGCCGAGGTGGCAGGTAAATTGCTGTTTAGAAGCTGAGTGTTCAGGTTTTGGGTTTTCGAATCTGCGGATGGATAGGCAAGCTGCTGCGTAAAAGCCAAATATTCAAGGTTTAGGTTTTCGAATCTGCGGAGCATCTGCAAGCGAAACTCCGAAACGCAAGACCTTAACACCTAACCTACATTCCTTAGGTCTCTGTTACAATTTCAGCACATAAGCTACCCCCAAAACGTCCCAAAACGGTACTGTGATTATTAACGCCTCTATAATATCATCATGCCGTTAGCTCAAACCTGCTAGGTCGCCTAAACCTGACGGGACCCGTTGTCCGGTGTAACTTTGACAGGCAAGCTCCTCGGTCCCAACCACCTGAACCATAAAGCCTTTGTCGCATAGGGGCCTGAGTAATGCCTACCATGAATCCATACGGTTCGTGAATAATCTAATACGGTATAGTTCAATGCGTTAGATACCGAAGCCCTAGTCTCATTCTGATGGTCCCGTACACCCAGGACACCCTGCACACCACGAGACCTCTAGACTCTAGCCCTCAACACCGAAAAGGGAAGGACACTAAACTCCTCATAAAGGTTTGCCGATTTGGGCTGGAGCTTTGTGGCATCGAGAATGCCAGCCCCGAGTGCAATGTGGAATCAACAGCCCCAGAATACGAGGGACCAGTGCGACCTAGAGCCGCCAGTTCTTAAAGCTGCGCCAACTACGGCTGTCCAAGACTCCCTTTGAATTTAAAACCCGCAAACCCCAAACTTCCTAAACCCTTCCCAAATCACGAGTTCCCAGAATCGGAACCCTAAGCCCTAAACCCCTAAACCCTGAACCTCAAGCCCCACAACAAAATCCCATTCGTTTCGAGCAGGCGCTTCTTTCCTTCCTCACGGTGCCCTACATCAGGACCGCGCTAGGCCTGAGGTTGCCATTTTTGTTGCTTCCCAGCCTTGAAGTTAGAGTTTTGTTCTAGAGGCCTTCTGATTTTTTCCCTGGCCCCCCAGCCAAAGGGCTTCGATGGCAGAGTAGGGACACTGAATAATGGGGTTCTGTTGAGTGCATGTGATTGTGAAACTCCTTAGGAAATCATTGAGTGCATGGTTTTGGGGGTTTCTGTCCTTTAGGTGCCTCGCAACAAAAAAGGGCACTGCAGCGAATCTACATCCCTAAACAGCATAAGTTGAGCTTTCAGTACCTACATAGAACCTACAAAAGACATGGGTGCATGAGCTTTACCCTACGGATCCAAGTACCGAACCATCATGATGTATTCTCAAGGTTTTAGCCTATATTACTACGATCCTAAACCGCTTTTGACCCTTCGGGTTGGGGTTATAGAGCCCTTGCCTCTAAACCCTTAACCCGAACCCCACACCCTAAACCCTCCACCGGATCAACAGCCTTCCGCAATTCGGATTCCTGACGACAGTACGCTGAAAGTGTGAAAAAGGCGTTCAACAAAAGAAAAAACCTCCACCGGTTATAGAACCCGTGGCCTAAACCCTAAACCCTCAACCGGTCATAATTAGAGCCCTAAACCCTAAACCCTAAACCCTTTTCAGCGCCCCTGAGGATGCCCCTGGTTATGGCCTTCTTCACCACCGGGGATCGCGTGAACTCCCTCTTCGATCGGGGCTTGCAGGAGATCCTTGAGGCGTTCCGTCGGAGGGTTGGGGGCCTTTATTAGGGGTTCCTTTAAGGGGGGGTCTATAACGGTTACTATAAGGGATCTATAAGGGTACTATAACAATGTATATAGGAACCTGATTAAGAAACCTTGGGCCTGTATTAGGGGGTTCCTTTACAGGGGTCTAGAAGGGTTGGTATATAAGGGATCTATATATTAATGAATATGGGAATCTGGTTAAGAAACCTTGGGCCTTTATTAGGGTTCCTTATATGAGTCCCACTAGTTTGGCGTTATAGGCCCAGGGTTTCTCAATCAGCTTCCTACATTAGAGGGTTTAGGGCTTCTGGGGTTTAGGAGTTAGGTTCTTGAGGCTTTCTGGAGAGTTGGAGATAGAGGGCTTGGGGCTTTTCGAGTTTAGGAGTTGGGTACTTGAGGCTAGGGTTGGGGGTAGAGGGTTCAGGGCTTATGGGGTTTAGGATTCAGGTTATAGGATTCAGGGCTTAGGGTGTATTGGGGTTTAATTTGTGGGGTTTAGGATTGAGGATATGGAGGGTTTACTGTACAGGGACTGAGGTTCATGTTTTGACATGTTTTGAGGGTGTCATGGTTTAAGGTTTAGTATCATGTTGTATGTGCTATTCTGGGATGCAGGGTATTTGAGGTGTTGCGAGTGTTGTGTGCTGGCTGCTGTGTCACTTTACCTGCGGTTAGTTTTTTTCGCATGGCGACGGCGACGACATCAGCTCAAGGCCCTTATGTTCATTTCTGGTATGCTCCGGGCGTGCCGTGCCTGTAACAGCCAAGCCGAAATCTGATGTTGCTCATGGGAACGCCCTTGCTTTCGAACCTTGAAGACTCGGTGGAAGCCCTAAGTTCTTTCCCAGAGACTCCCATATCCTTTAATTAAGGAATGTTCCTTCAATCATCTTAGGGATCCTACTATAATTTAAGGTATATTCCTTAATTAAGGGATATTGGAGTCTCTGGGTTCCCTGAGCCCTATCTTTAGCTGCAGAGCTCGGGAGGCAGCAGGGCAGCTCTACCCATGACAGCCTGAAGCCCTAAACGCTAAAGCTTGAAACAACCCTGAAAAAGTTGAAGACGTAGAGGCACCCTTACACAAATCGCAGGTTTCCTTTTGACCAAAACCCAAAACTAGCCCTACACCCTAAACCTAAATCTACCCAAAAAAACACAGAGCCCATTCAAAACACCGACGTCTTCAATCCAAAGTGGCAGGCCCCTAAACCCCTAAACCCTAAACCCTACTTGGAGGGTCATGGGACTTAGTAACTATAGTTATAAATCCCTTAATTGGGGTTATACGTAATTATAAGTATAGTTACCCCAATCATAACCCTAGTTGCTAAGTCCCATGATCCTTTAAGTAGGCCCTAAACCCTACAGATCCTTTAAGGAACCCCAAAGACCCCAAAAAGGAACCCTATAGATCCCTTTAAGGAGCCCTTTAAAGTTACTAAGTCCCATGGATCCTTTAAGTACATTACCTAAACCCTAAACCCCTAAACCCCTAAACCCTAAACCCTAAACCCTCAACGCTTGCCGTGAGGAGCCCTGGGCTCCCCATGATCCTTTAAGTAGACGGCAGGCAGTGGTCCTGGAGCCGGGGAAGCTGCTGGAGCCGACCCACTGGGCAGATGCACCGGAGCGCTGCTGCCTTTCACTTACCTTTGGTTAGTAGGGAATAGGGCTCCTTTAAAGGGATCCACAGGGGTTTAGGGTTCCTTTAAAGGGATCTTTACCTTTGGTTAGTAGGGAATGGAAGGGGCCTTATAAAGGGGTCGATAAGGGTTACTATAAGGGATCTATAGGGGTACTATAATGTGGGAGCCTTAATAATCCTATAGCTTTCCCTGTGGTTAGTAGGGAATGGAAGAATGGTAGTAATAGTAGTTATAATGGTAGAAATATGATAGTTATAACGGTAGTAATATGATAGTTATATGATAGCTATATGGTAGTAGAATGGTAGTAATAGTAGTTATAATGGTACCCCATTCTTCCATGCCCTACTAACCAAAGGTAAGTTCAGGGTCCCAAGGGGTTCCTTCAAAGGACTCCTTGAAGGGCTCCTTTAAGGGTTCCTTTAATATCAGGGGCTTGGTGAACAGAGCAGGGTTTACAAGGTTTTGCCAGGGTTTCGTCGTGTTGTGTATAGAGGCTTGAATGCTTAATTTGACATGAAAACTAGTAGATTTATACATGGTCTGTACAAAGCGGTATCCTTACCAGCTATGGAGACCAGACAATCAACTGTCCACGAGTGACCATTTACAAGGGCAACTTGTGACTACTGAGACTTGTGAATTGAACCTTAAACCCTAAACCCTGGAAGCCTAAACCCCTATAAAGAGCCTTGCCTGCGGTGTGCGAGTGTGAGCGTCGAAACCCCCATAAACCGTGTAACCATCAGCCCTATGACCCTTCTCCTTAAACCCTAAAGCCGTCACGTTTCACTTGTCAGACTCCGAACCATATGCCTCGCCTGGATTGTCCGACTGTGAGCGCCGAAACCCGTCAGGAGAACGTTCCGGCCAACTCATCCATGGAGCAAGAGCTCGTCGCCTCGCCTTACGGCCAACTCTTAACTGCTCCTCAACAAATCTCTTGATCTAGGGTTTAGTTTACGGCTTTCGGGTTTAGGGTTTGGGTTCTAAGAGTTAGCAGTAATTAGCATCGGGGTGTACTACGTAGAATGTCTCAGGTGTTGAGGCGCGTGAGGATGTAGAGCTCAAGGCTTGGAGGTATGTTTACTGCCTTAGCACTCGGAGCGCCCAGGCCCTATGAGCCTTTGTAGGTCCCCAACAGAGTTCCTTTGTAGATCTTAAAGCCCCATTTGGGGGTTTCCGGAAATTAGGGGTACCCTATTTTATAAGGGTCCTTATCATAAGGATCTTACTATGTAGGGTACGATATTGGTTCCCCTGTTTGCGGAAACTCCCATTTGAGCGCATGTAGCTATTTTCTGCACCCCGCTGCCTCACACCACACCCTGAAGGACCGACTCAAGGACCTGAGGAACCCGTACAAAACTTGGAGGATCATGGGACTTAGTAATTACAAGTGGGGTTTTATAAGTCCCCTAAGTGGGGTTATCCTAAGTATAACCTACTTATAATCTTACTTACTAAGTCCCATGAGCCTCCAAGAACCTACTGTAAGACTTCCACCACAAACATCTCGAAACTTTAATCAAAAAGACACCAATGCACATAAACCTTGAACCTTAAACGCCAAAAGCCCTCATGTGAAAAGCCCCACGGAGCTAGCCTGTGCATCCAGCTCCTGCGAACACGTAACCCTATCTGGACGGCACAAAAGCCTAAACACCAGAGTGCAACCCTTCCCGATTGCTAAGCTCTAGACTCAGCTAATAGACTCTAATGCCTAGACCCCAGGAGTTTCCATGTGCCTCCCCACTGACCCAGATCCCAAACTCTAAACACCTAAACCCTTTGCCTCGAATCGTAAAACACAAAGGGAGCCAGTTAAAGCCAACAAGGAGCTGTCTTGTGCACCCAGCTGTCTTCTGGCATACTTGGCAAAGCTCCTCGAGCTCGCCCTGGTACTGGCGAACTCAGCGCCCGGGCGGATGTTTGAAAAGTTCTAAGAGAGAGATTCTAATCAACGCCTTTTGCTGGTTCCGTTGTTCGGGGTATGGAGGTTTTTATAAACGGGATTTTGAGAGAGCTCTATGTCAGCTGCTCAAGGTCGTTTAAGGGTGCTATAAGGGCTATTAGAGGGTTCTACAGGGTTTTGGACGGTCTGGAAGGCTGTTATGGGGTTTTCATAAGGGCTTTATCATAGGGTATGCTCTCTGTATATCTTTGACAGTGGAGGACCACTTCACGGGTTGTCAGGGGGTACCCAGTGCATCCGGGGTCTATATTGGATGGACTTGTAAAAGGGTATTACACGTGGCTTTATATGTGTTTGCGTTTAAACGCCAAGGATTTATAAGTGTCTTACAAACTTCTTTACAAGGGAAATTGAAGAGTTGACGTCTGGAGTTGAGGGTTTAGGACCTTGAGGTTTTAGGCCTTTAGTTTTGAGTGTTTTAGGGTTTAGTGTCGTTCGTGCCGATCACGGTTTCATAGGGCCGCAAGTGAAGTTGGGCTTGCCGTTTCGAGTGCCGGGGGGAGGGAGAGAGAGAGAGAGAGAGAGTGGTCGAGGGTTTAGGGCTTCAGAGTCTCCGTTCCTGTTAAGGGAGTTAATTTAAGTTATCATGATAAGTATTCCTATTCAACAGCATGGTTTCGTTATTCTGGTAACTTGAATTCACTTCCCTAATAAAAACCCAGCAGTTTGAGGCTTTCGGGTGGGTCGTAAGCTTCACGGCCAAGGCTTCGGCAAGGCTTTGAGATAAGGACCTAAGGCCTAAGGTTCTGGAACGACCAAAGGCGACTTTCTTTGAAGGGGCCCGAACTAATTCCGTATTAGTGTGTATAACGAGCACCTTCGAAAAAGTTAGGTTGTGGTAGCTTAGTGGTAGAATCGAGGAGTTTCAGCTTCATGGCTTCAGGGCTGAGAAAAGAGACTCCCCGGCAGTCTTATGCGACTATGAAACGAAATCCTCCCCACAAGAAGCCCGGAAACCCAGCCCCCAAACCCATCAGGCACGCCTCGAAGGCCATGAAGCCTAAACCACAAAACCAAAATACTAAACCCTGCCATGAAGTCTCAAAGGCCATGAGCCAGACGGTGGGAACCATCCTTTTCGTCCTGCGTGTCGCGGCGCGCGTGGAATCCTCGGCTGTGTACCTTCTCCTGCACGCCGAGGGCTTCCTGGCACAATCTCGGGGAAGGTTCACGGCTTCCTAAAACTGTGCCCCCGTGAGCCCGAAATCCCAAACCCACATGGGTGGTTTTCAAAATTAAGGTCCCTTTTTGGGCACCCTGGGTGCGGTATTATGTTAGTACCCAAAACAGGAACCTAATATTGACAACCACCCACATGTAAAGCACTACATCAAGCCCATGCCCGCAAGGAGCCCCAACGTAAAGCCCTATCTAAACGGCTTACTTCTAGACTCCAAGACCCAATCAGCCGTAAGCCCTCAGCCCCCATGTAAAGCCCTATATAAACCTCCCAGGCCTTGAAACAATGAGCAAAAAATTGCGAAGCCGTTATGTCAAGCCTTAAAACCGATAAGTGCAGAACTTCTTTTACAGTCTCAGGTTACGTTCGGCTTGAATATTCATATTACCGATAGTCTCCATTGTAGTTCCTTTTTTGGGTTACCTTATAGGAACTCAAACATATAGTTTGTTAGAACCAAAAGGAACCACAATGGACGGTATCTAGTTTGCTTAAAGTAGGATTCTGAACTTTTCTTTCAACTTGTAGGTGTTGGGAGCAGGGTTTTGCTATCGGGGTCTTCCGGTCCTTGTTGCTTTAATGTGGTATATGAAACTCCCCCAAACGCTACCTTTAGTCTCCATTGTAGTTCTTTTTTTGGTTAACCAAAATCTCTAGTATAGGATCCTAACCATAAAACTGGTTGAGCAACAAAAGGAACTACAATGGAGACTATAGGTACACTATTAATTGCGGCCCTACAAAACTTCGAATCCCGCAGAAAGCCGAACTCAGAACCCCAACAGCTTAAAGCTCACACCGCGAATCCCTGAGCGGCTGCGCTCTCTGTGGGTTCAGGGTTGAGGCAGGGGTTTAGGGTCAAGTCCAGGTGTAAAAGGGTCAAGCCGTCGGATTTGAGCCAAGGGTTCTAAAAAAGCGGTCAAACCTCCGTCGCAACGCCCGTGAGACTCTAAGTGCTGGGGACACAGTAAACCCATACCCTGTCCACTGAATTCGGCAGACCATGACCGAGAGTCCTTGTTTGAGGGTTGCGGTGCTTGAGCGTATATCCCAAATCCTAACCTTCGGCCCTCAACAGCCCCCGTCCAACAAAACAGAAACAAGGGCAAGCAGCAAAAGAAATCTTGGATACTGCCCTCACTCTGTAAGTATGCTTTCTGTGCATGTATACATGTACACATTTATACATATTCACATCTCCACAAACACACACATATGTGTGTAGACACATAATACTTATAGCCCGCAATATGACCCCTGCATTATAGATCGTTACAGTCGAGGTGCCGTACGCAAGGGCTGTTGGCCACCTGAGAGGGAGACCCGGTCCGCCGGGTTCCGGCGAGCCTGTGAGGGGGGGGGGGGGGGCACCCAGAGACTCCAATATCCCTTAATTAAGAAACATACCTTAAATTATAGTAGGATCCCTAATATGATTTAAGGATCTCCAATATGATTTAAGGAACTTTCCTAAATTAAGGGATATTGGAGTCTCTGGGCAGTGCCCACGGAAATCCCAGGAAAGCATCCCGCCGGTGGCCCGCGCCCTGGTGCGCTCCCATGTTCGGCGGCCTCCCTGCATGAGCTCAGAGCCTTGGGCGATAATGGGCGTCAGAGCCTCTCCGGGCTCGGGGTAAACCATACAGTAGAAGCCAGGAAGTTGGAACAGATTACATAGGGCTTAAAGAAGCATGAGCTCAGAATCTTCGGCGACAGTATAGAATTTAGGACATGAGCTCAGAACCTTGGGCGATAATAATTGGTTTAGGACATGAGCCCAGAATCTTGGGTGATGAAATACGGGCCTGAATAGTTAATTACCTAAACTTTTTTTTTTTTTGAGGGGGGGGGGGGCGTCCTTGTTATGATTATAGCATATGATAATGGGCCCCAAAACCCTATTCGTACTAAGTCCCCTACAATTAGGGCTTCGGGGTTGGGGTGTTAGAGGGTTTAGGTTTTAGCGTTTAGGGTTTTGTTGCAAGGCACCTTTCCGGTCAGAACTTCACCGCCCGGATGCAGGTTTAGGATTGGGCTTCGGGCTTGGAGTCTGGCAATTTTGGGCTTGGGCAGAGAGTTCGTTGATGGGCTTGGCAGCCGCGAGGCCCTGAGGTTTGCATGCCTTAAAGGGATCTATAAGGGTTCCTTAAAGGGATCTTTAAGGGTTCTATAGTGGGTTTAGGGTTTTAGGGTTTAGGGGTTCTAGTGTAGGAACCACAGTTCCAGGAAAGGTGCAGACGCCTTCTTCGGCTTGTACTGGGCGGTGTGTTTCAATTTTGGGAGTTTTCATTGCTCTAGAAGCCCGAATAGTTCGCATGCGTTTCTTCAGGTCATATACCCCGCAAATCACACCCCTGTTGCATTACTGGGTCAAAACTATCGACTCATCTGCATCAGAGATGTGACATATGATGAAGGTACCACTATGTCTATGGACCAACATTATGATAGCCTAGTGTACTTAAATATTTAGCATGTAATTCAAAAAAAGCCCATCCCAAACCTTAAACCCGAAAACCCTGAAGACTACATACAAAAGCCGCCCTAAACCTTGAACCCTCATCGCCCGGCAGCCCCAAATTTGCTGAGAAGCCGGCCGTCAGCGCTTGCGGCAAATTTTCGTGGAGGCGGAGGCATGCCGGGCCCCGCATTGTTGCGTAGTTTAGGGCTTGAGGGTTTAGAGGATGGTTTTAGGGCTCGGGATTTGGCTTTGCATTTGTGCCTGAATGGCCTTTGTTACGGATCCATACGGTTTAGGGGTCCAGGATTGGAAACTGCACAACTGTAGGGACTGGAAGACCCATGACTGATTAGCATTCAGTCCTTCAATGCCATAGCACTGCGATCCTTCTGAGGAGGGGGTTGTGAAGCAAAATTTTGAACGGTCAAAGTGGTGAAAGTGGCATCATGATTGGTAGTGATGACGAGAACACTAGCACTGGTAACATATGTAATCAATATACGTATACTCAGACGAACTAAAGTAACTAAGGGAGGGTAAGCCAAATCGAAATACCTTGAACATGAGGCACTTTCAAATGTAATGACTGAACAGAAGCTGTTAAATAGCGACCAAAAGCAACAAACGAAACGCAACACTTTTGCAGAAACAATACACACAATGCAAAAGCACGGAGAGTGAGCCCCTGAATCTTAAACCCTGAACCCGTAATCCTCAACCCTAAACCTTCAACCCATTTCAACCCATAATCCTTGGCGTTCTGCTGGTTGGCTCTTTAGACTTTAACTTTTTGGGTTTCTATATGAACTATAATAAGGAGGCTAAAAGTTTAACTTTTAGGAGGGGTTCAGAAGTTCGCCAAGAATCCTCAACCTCAAAACCTGAACCCTAAGCACTAAATCTTGAACCCTCAACGCTAGACTCACAACCCCTTAATCCTCAACCCCAGACCCTGAACCCTCAGCACTAAAACCCTAAACGTGCTGAACTCATAACCCTCAACACTGAAGCTGAAACCCATAATCCTCAACCCGAAACCTTGAAACCTGTCCACTATCGGTTGTTGTTGATTCGCCAGCAGCTGAGCTCTCTCAGTAGCAATAGCGTATTCTGACTTATCGCCTGGATCCGTGCTAACTTTGCGAGTGTTCGCGCCGAAACCCTAAACCCCAAAACCCTCAAACCCTGAAACCCTAAAACCCCATACCCTAAACCCGAAACGGGACGTCCAAAAAAAGAAGAAAACGACACCTTGAACCCCAAAGAGCCCGGCCTTAGGCCTTATGTAAGCTTGGACGAAGGGCAGACATAAAAAGGCAGCTCAAAAAAAGAGCCCCAGGGACTCCAATATCCCTTAATTCAGGAATATACCTTAAATTATAGTAGGATCCCTTATATGGTTTAAGGTACATTCCTTAATTAAGGGGTATTGGAGCCTCTGTCAAAGGGTAAAAGGAGGGACCCCTAATAAGGACTCCTAGGTATATACCCATAATATAGCCCTTATATACCCATTATATAGCCCATTATAGGGTAGGGGTCCCCATTCAGGGTCCCTCCTTTTTCCTTTTGATTAAACTAAACCCTAAACCCTGAACCCTATAGATCCCTTTTAAGGGACCCTTATAGATCCCTTTAAAGGAACCCTAAGAGCCTAAGGGTCCCTCCTTTTTTCCTTTGCCTCTGGGAGCCCCAGGGATGGTTGGACGCCTGGCTCTCCGAGCTCCACGGCCTCGCCCAACAGGCGGCAGCTGCCGCCTCTGGCAAAGGTGGGGCTTTGGGACATTTTATATTTTCCCTTATTGGGCTTAAGAGCATCTTATTTACTAACATTTTTCAACAGCTTCAAAAGCCGCCTCTGGCAAAGGTGGGGAGCAGTGTTTGGATGTTTTAAATACCTGGGTTGTCGTTTGGGATCTTTTTTTTGGTCCCCCTACTATTTCGTAAAGAATCCATAGTAGCAAATAGTTTTCGATCGGCTTCAAGGACAACTCAGATGCCCAAAACCCCAAAACCCCCAACCCTGAACCCTGAGGGGGTTATGGGGCGTCTATACAGTTTCGAATAGTGTGTTCCCAGAGAGCCCATAAATGCCCAATACGCATTAATTGAGACATATTGCTGCTAAATTCAACGAGAATCTGAAGCCCGCTTTAGCTGAATTAACGCTCTTATAGTCTAGGGTCATTAAGTTAATGAGGGATTTATGAAAATCTTCGACCCCCCAACTGACAGGCGAGGAGGCGTCGGGTGGAGGAGGCCTTTTCGGAGGCAGCCGGTCATGTCATCAGTCTGATTCCATCTTAGGGTTTAGGGTTTAGGCTTCCTGGGTTCTTTTAAGGGATTTATTGTAAGTTTCTAACGGAACCATATTATTTACTGTTACTATAGATCCCTGTTATGGTATCCTAAGTAAATCCCGTCACAAGAGCTCAGATTTCATCAGTCTGATTCCTAGTAGCCTTGAACCTTTGGGGTTTATACAACCCTACCATAATTGAAAAGGTTAGCTTTTTTGGCGATAGGGTACTCAGCCCCGAAGGATGTAGAAATGCAGAGACTGAGGGCGCTCGAGTTTTATGATACGAGCTTTGGGGTTCAGGGCTTAGGGCTTTCACGCTCAGCCCTGTGGGCGTGCTTGTTCAGCCCCAAGCCCAGAGGCGAAAAGGGCTTAGGGCTTCAGCGGTAAGAGTTTGCCTGACGTGTTGACAGGTTCACTGATTGAAAGAGCTGATGCGTTCAGTGGTTGCGCGAGGCTGCCATCTCTTGTTTTTGACGGGGAGGTTGAAACACATGTCCAGTTTAGGGTTCAAGGCCTTTCCTAGACTCTAAACACTCCAACCCGCTGTTGTCGAGGCGATTATCTGGCATGTTGAGAGTTCATCAGGTGCAGCCTGTCGAGATCTGTAAAGCCCATTGTTCATGCCCGAAACCCTGGACCTTAAACCTAAACCCTAAACCATACCCGCCTGGCATGCCCGAGTTGTGAGAGCATAAACCATACCGACGACGGCAGGTTCGACGACGAACGTGGCCAGGAGCAAAGCTCAGCAGAGTTTGGACAAGTACATGAAGAATCTTGGCTCCACACTGGGTGTCCGCCCCAGAAAGAGTACGGCACCCTTATAGAGCCCATATAGAAAGGACCCTAAACGGGAGCCTAAGTCAGTAACTCCACATATACAGATGAAACCCGCAACAAAACACCATCAACCCCAAACCTTAAACCCTAAACCCGGAGCCCCTTATGGGTGTAGGATTCCCATAAGCGATCCTTTAAGGGGTAGTTTAAGGGAGAGCGCTCCTCGGGCGAAACCTTCAGCCGAACCTCAGCCAGCCGCTAGTTTTCAAGGGTTTAGGGTTTCGGGGTGTCGCACGCATCGGCCTCAGTCCGGGTTTAACAAACGGTTTCGGGGTGAAGGCTTTACTGCTTTAGGGGTTTAGGGTTTAGGGGTTTAGTGTTTTGACGCTTCGAGTGCCTGTGAGAGAGAGAGAGAGAGAGAGAGAGAGAGAGAGAGAGAGAGAGAGAGTGTTTGGACTTTGAGATGTGCGATTGGGGTGAGTCCCAGTGCGAACAAGCAGATGCGTAGAATATGTCAGGAGGAGAAGATGGAAGGGAGCCTTGGGGGCTTGGGTCGGTTTAGGATTTAGGGTTTAGGGTCTAGGATTTAGGGTTTAGGGATTTAGGGGTTTAGGGTTTAGGGTCTAGGGTTTAGGGATTTAGGGGTTTAGGGTCCAGGGTTTAGGGTTTAGGGATTTAGGGGTTTAGGGTTTAGGGTCTAGGGTTTAGGGAGTTATGGCTTGACCTTACGCGGAAAGGTTGAATCCTGAATCCCAAGATGTCGAAGACAGAAACAGAACCCGGTTTTGTAGATAGGATGAACAAGCCCTGCATATCGAAGCTGCAAGCCTGAAACACCTCAAAGGCTCGAGCCTGGAAGCCTGACACCCTGAAGCTTAATCCGGGTTGTCCTTTGGGATATTTTTTAGTTTCCTCTACTAGTTTGTAGAGAACCATAATAGTAAGTAATTTTCAAAGGGCTTAAAGGACAACTTTGTCATAGCCTAGTAGGGTAATATTTACAGCCCAGCCCATTCCCTCGAAGCCTAAACTTAGCTTACGGTTTAGGGTTTGGGGCTGAGTGTGCTAACCCCTAAACCCCTAACTGCAAGGGACACGAAACTCGAGGGACAGGGCAAAGGGGAGCCTTACCAGTATCCTTAATCCCTAAACCATCAAGAGTTGCCGACTCGAACGCATGGACCTCGTCTGGCTTGCCCGAGTTGCGAGAGTTTAAACCCTAAGCCCTAAACCCATGAGAACTGCACTCGTCAAGGACTTCCTGCAACATCCACGCTCACATCCTCCTGCTCCTGCGGAATGTGCCTCGGAACAAGCACATGGTTTCGGATTTGGCGTTTAATATGGGAGTTTCCGAAAATTCGGGGTACCTTGTTTTGGGGTCCTTGTTTTGGGGGTCCTTGTAATAAGGATCCGACTATTTAGGGTACTATATTAGGGTCCCCAATTTTCGGAAACTCCCATATCGAAGCCTTAGTAATTAAAGCAGGGTTGTAGGGTATATTGTCAACGTAACAAGGAACCCGAAAGAATAGTTTCGGGAAATAGCCAGGCTTCTTTATTAGGGTTCCAGCTCCGGCGGCGGAATTGGCCTGGGAAGACGCTACAGCTAAGGGACGCAAGACTACAATACCACCTGAGGACTGTTCTAACACAGGCCCCTGTCAAGATACCTGTTTCGTGAAACAACTGCATGTGTTTTAGCCAGAGTGGTAAACGTCAGATGTCGCATTGGAAAGATCATGAAGGTTGCTCTCGAAACCGAGTAACATGACAAATCCATGGAAGTCCGTCTAGCGGCCCATAGCGACAAAACCAAACAGCAGGTCCCTGAAGACGAGCTCGACGAGAGAAGCGTCAGCAGGATTCTGTCCCTCGGCTGCTAAGTTTGCAAGCTTTTAGCTATTCCTTGTTTTGCAAAAACACTTGTCAAGCTCTTGGGACTTAGAGTTTAGGATTCGTTTAGACCGTTTGCACTTACGGGAACTGTTGTGGATTTCCATCTTCCAAAACCCTAAACCGACTTGGCCACTGCAAACTTAAACTTGTTGTTGGTCCCTCAACTGGGCAATGAATTAGAAGCTGCCCCCACCCTGTAACAGTGACTATAAGGATTATATGAGGGCCCGTTCCCATAATAGCACTATTACAGGGTGGGGGGCCCCCTCTCGGCAATGAATCAATGAAGGTCCTCCTTCACCTTTCTATCACTACATCACACCTTCAACCAGGACAAGGGTTCGGGGTTGACCCAGTCGCAAGACGGGGTCAAGGGTTCAGAGTCTAGGGTTAAGGGTCCAGCGTGCAGGGACTCGGATAAGGCAGGTGTTTAGGGTTGTTTATTTTTTCGAGATCCCGAAACTACACATGTCAGGCTTTCGTGATATGTGTTGAATTTGGTAGCAATGCCGTGTTAAGTATGATTTTGTCAGTGTAATCATTCACCTGGCCGAAGACACTAAATCATGCTAGATACAAGAGTGTTTCAAAGCCCGGTGCGCAGGGCCTGTTTCAGGAGAAATCTGCAACTACCTGGACCCTCAGGAACCAACCTTGTTAGGGCTCCCTAATATGATTTCTTTATATAAATCCTAAAAAAAGGTAGGTTACCCCGGAGTTAAGGCAGTGCTCAACCCTGACAAGGTTCGTGGGGCTCAATCGAGTTGTTTCTGCAGCTGCCATCCCCAAAAACCTTGAAGCCCTAAACTCTTGTCTTAGCCCTAGCCGCTACCCTAGCCACCTATATGACCCCAAACCGTGCTGAAAGGAACACCGAAAAGAGAATCCGGCGAACCACAGCCGAAAATCTTACTTCAAAGGCTGCTGCTAAGTTTCATTGAGAATAGGGAGGAGGACCGGAGGCACAAGCTTAACTCGACAAGAGACTCCGGGAACCATACTTCGGTTTAGGGTTGATAAGCCTCCCTAAACCCTGAACCCATCCTACCCAAAGGCCCCAAAGTAGTTCCTTCTTGGGGTTCGTATATAGAATCCTATAAGGTTTTCCCAAAAAGGAACTATTTTCGGGCCTCTGGGTGAACCCTGTGCTTTTGAAATCCAGCGTTTTCTGCCCTGGTGAATCACGGCCGGGCCTTGAGAGTTACGCAGTGTTGAGGGTGCAGGGGGGGGGCCTTTCTCGGTTTGGGACCTTAATGAAGGGGCCTTAATCATTAGAACAGGGTTTTTGGGGCCCATTATACTATAATTACAATAAGGAACCCCCACAATAGTACTGGTAATCATTGAGGCCGCTATATTATTCCTTTGGGGATCCTACAGGGTACCCCCTCTCAAGCCTAACCCAGCGGCCCTTGAATCGTGGCATTTTTTCCATCCACAGGACTTCTTGGACATACCGGAGACAGAGCTTTTCGAAGTGTTCCAGCATCACAGGCCTTCTAGCGGATTTTACAAACGAAACCGCGGGAGCATTATCTGTCTGCTGCATCGATGGGGTTTGGGGTTTAGGATTGAGGTCTGTGTGTTGAAGTTTATGCACCGCATATCTTCCTCTCTCTCTCTCTCTGTCTTTTTCCCAGTCTCTACCTTTGTATTTGTGCGTGTGTGCCTGCACACGCAGCTTTGCGATGTAAATACTTGTGGGCCGTCACGCTGTCCAGTGCATCGTCAGCCGGGCGGAACCGTCAACCCTCATCCTAAACTATTTGGGACATGTGCTTATGCTTGGGACTTGTTGTGGTCGTGTCTGATGTCCCATCCGACAGTGACCCCAATAAGTGAATGGACTTGATGAGTTGATGGCGAAGTCGTCGAACCTACAACTGCAGACCTTGCCAAGCTTTTCCGAGTGTGAGTGTCAAAAATCCTTAACTAAACCCCTACGCCTTAAACACTAAACCGTTACCTACTAAGCCAATCCTAAACCGTTACCTACTAAGCCAATGTTCAAGCATAGAGCGTTCAAGCATAGAGCGCTGTCTGCTGGAGGAGCAAGTGCAATGTTTTCCTGTACAGGGTGAGCGCTTGAAATTCTGAAAGTAGCCTAAACCGTAACTCCCTAAACCAGCAACCCTAAACCCGGACCCAAAACCGTAATGCCCTAAACCCTAAACACATGCCTCGCCTGGATTGTCCGAGTGTGAGCGCCGAAACCCTAAACCCTAAACCCTGAACCCTAAACCCTAAACCCTAAACCCTAAACCCTGACCCAAAACCCAAAACCCTAAACCCTAAACCCTAAACCCTAAACCCCTAAACCCTAAACCCTAAACCCTAAACCCTAAACCCTAACCCAAAGCCTTAATTAATGCCCGCAACCCTGAAACTCCAAGAGGCCCGGGTTGAGGCCGGGGGTTCCAAGCCATGTGTTCTCGAGTTTGTCAAAATTGTGGCCCCCTTTTTTGGATCCTCATTTTAATACGGCACCTAATATTTAGAGTACCCCAAAACAGGGACCATAATTTTGACAACTACCTAATAGGTTTTAGTGGTTTAGGGTTTAGGGCGTTTGGAGAGCTTGCAAGTATCGTCATGGTACACCTGCGCCAGCGCTTGGGGTCTGCCTGAAGCCCGAGTATCCTACTGTTTGAAGGACTTACGTACACAAAGACATCATACTTCGGAACCCTCAAGAGCTTGGTTCTTGGGGGTTTGGGTTTTAGGGTTTAGGGTCTAATGTAGGAACCTGATTAAGAAACCCCGCGAATTTATTTGGGAACCTTATATGAACCCTAATATATTGGGGGTTATAGGGCCAGGGTTTCTTAATCAGGTCCCTACATAGATTATTATAGTATACCCTTATAGATCCCTTTAAAGGAACCCTCATAAAAGGCCCAGGGTTCGAGGGTTTAGGATCTTTGGGGTTGAGGGAGGATCGCTGGGATTTCAATTCATGCGGATTCCGATGAGGCGCGGCCTGGTCCGGTGGTTCGAGAAGCAGCGAAAAGGCATCTTTGCTAATACAGGGCCCTATACATACTTGCCGTTATTGTTTAGGGTTTAGGGCTGCCGCGAGTGCGATGTGCTGCTTGGGGATTCTGGCCGGGCGAGCACTAATCAAGCCTGTGGAAAAAGGGCTTTAAATACAGTAATTGCCACTACGATTTTTGGGGCTGCTGATTATGAATATAGTATAATGGGCCCCCAAACCCCATTCTAAGTATTAAGGCTTATTAAGGGCCATGTAGTACCTTTTTTTGTTGGTGGCACACTGTTGAAAATGGGGTTGAGGATTCCAATTCAACCATTCAGCGCTGTATCGCTTTCTCCCCACGAACCTGAAACGTGAAGAATTTGTTTCCGGCTCACCCATGGAGGTATTCTTTAGAAGGGGCCCCCACCCTGTAATAGTGGTATAATAGGAATATAACAGGGCCCCAATATAATCATTATAGTCACTATTGCAGGGTGGGGGCAGCTTCTAAGGTATTCTTAAAAAAATGCATGCTGCAGTATGCACTTCTCACAGCAAGCCTGGCTCGGAAGCTCCGGAAACCATCTGAGTCGTTTCACTGCCTGTGCCCTAGCCCCCACATCCTAATCCCGGTTATTATGCATCCACATGTAGACATGTGCATGCAGCTTTGGACATACATGTATGTGTACATCTGTATAAACACAACATACATTCTGTCCGTGACAGTATGTGCATGTGTGTCGTTGGATAGCAGTACTAGTGCTTATTCCTCTTCTTCTTCTACTGCTGTTACAGCTCGTGCGGCTGCTACTACTGCTAAATGACAGCAGCAACGACAACAACAACACCAGCAACAACAACAGCTGCAGCACCACCACCAACAACAGCAACAGTCACAGCAAGAGCAGCAACAGCAACAACCGCAACAACAATCACAGCAACAACAACTACTACTACTTGCAGCACCATCACCGACAACAGCAACAGTCACAGCAAGAGCAGCAACAGCAACAACCGCAGCAACAACAACAACAACAACAACAATTACTACTACTACTACTACTACTACTACTACTACTACTACTGCTACTACTACTACTACTACTACTGCTACTACTACTACTACTGCTACAATTACTTCTGCTGCCGCTGCTACTACTACTTCTACTACTACTACTACTACTACTACTACTACTGCTACTACTACTACTACTACTACTACTACTACTACTACTACTGCTACTGCTACTGCTACCGCTACTGCTACTTCTACTGCCACTGCCATTACTGCTACTGTTACCAAGTAAACTCTGTACCAACTGACCCGAGCTTTGCCAGTCCAGGCAAGGAGTATGGCCGCTTCAACCGTGTGTTGCAAGAAGTTCACCAGCAGCTTCCTGACCTGACGTTTTGAGGTTCAGGGTTAAGTTAGGGTGTTTTGTGGGAGTTCTTGCTGCGAGATCATTTGTTGATTTGTCATTGGTCTTTAAAGCCTAAATGACCTCCCATCTAAACCTCACAACCCTAAACCCTTTAGCTACTGCAGAAGTTCCAGGGCCCAAAAGTTAAAGGGTATGAAGTTTAGGATTTGGGAGTTTCCGAAAATAGGGACCCTAATCTAGTACCCTAAATAGTAGAATCCTTGTCAAAGGGACCCCAAAATACGATACCCCTAATTTGCGGAAACTCCCATTTAGGGTTTAGAACAAAGTAGATTCAGGCCTGAGCTGCTGCAGGTGATGAGTGGGAGGGGGACTTCATGATCACATAGTCTCCCGAATACCAGCAGCAGTCTTCACCAGCCTTCCTGAAACTAACTACAGCATTATGCCGCTATGCCCTCCTCTTCTTGTTGGACCTTTGGTTCGCAAACTCACTAGCCCAGCTGCTTTGAGTTTCAAACCCCTGGGATGTCGAGCTTTGGGTTTAGGGTTTAGCGATGTCTTAATCCTTAAGCTCTAGTGCCTGCAAGCTCCTAAACCCTAAATCCCGCAGGTTCTCGACCATCGATTCTTCCAGCGCAGTCGACACATCTCACTTTGAATGGGGCTGCGTCAAGGGGGATTCGCGAAATGCGGGGCGATATGAGACTTGGCAAGACCCGGTGTATGGCAGCCGCTTTCAGGGGCGTAGGTTTAGTTTCGGTATGGTACGGAGTTGAGAAGGGCTTTGGATGGCTTTGGCGTGCACGCAGCCCACATGATGTCGTAGGTCCAGGGGTTGAACCTGAACCCCTGCTGGCCCTCGTGCGTCAGTATACTATAGATTATGCCAAGAAGCTCTTTAGTTTAAGTTAGTTGATTTAGTTGAGGGGTGCTGGAGTCTCTGAGAAGAGAAATCCGGGACCGAAACTCTGTAAATTCTTCACGTCCCAAAATAGCTTGGTAACCGTTTAGGGATGTTTAGGCCGATGTTAGGGCTAACGTCTTAGGGTTCAGCGTTACTACTAACTATAAACCCTCAACCCCAAACCCATAGATGTCATCAATGCAACACCCGAGGCAATCATCGGGCCACGCCGCTCCTCTGCAGAACGAGGTGATGTAGCCACCACCGAAAGCGACTTGGCCAATTTTTTTACATGGGTTTACGATTTCCGGCTTTGTGGTGTAATTACCACATTGGTTACAAACAAACATACATATGAAGATACAGATAGACAGGTATAGATAAACCTACATCTCAGATAGAGATATGGATATGTATATATATATATATATATATATATATATATATATATATATCTATATATATATATATAATGCTCCGTGTGAGCCTGTCTTCAGTTCCTATGCCCGGCATGACTTCGAGGTTGTTTCGTCAAACATCCATTGCCTGCACTAAACCCAGCACCAGGCCCTTTGCCAAAAAACCTTAGTCCTAAACCCGGGAACCCTTAAACCTAAAGCACAAATCTCCCAGAGACTTGAATGTAGGGCCTCCAAAAACTGGATGAGGGTTTTGGAATGTACATTATTCGACAACTATATCATACCATAGCTTTATTACAACAGCTGTACTACACACACACACACTCACACTCTACAACTCCAGCATACTAACCTTATTTCATACGACCACCTTATATCACCATGATTCTGGTATCAACTATGAGGGAATTCTCTCTTGTTTTGCTCAGGTAACGACAACGCCTGGATCGAGCTGAACATTCAGCTGCTCCAGGTCTGTTCTTCAAGGTTGTTTTTTTAAAAGGGGTTTTAGGGCTCCTTAAAGAAGTGTTAGGGATCCTTAGAGGGTTGTAGGGCTTCTTAAAGGGTGCTGGGTGATTTAGGGGTGTAGAATGTAGATGTTTTTTTGTGGGGTGGGTTCGGGCTTTAGGCGTCTTGGGTTTAGTTTAGGGTCTACAGCTCCTTGAAGGATCCCGCAAAGAATTCTTTGCGAATCTATGGGATTTAGGTTGAAGGTTTCGGGGTTTAGGGATTTGGAGTCGAGGGTTTAATGGTCGGTGGCGTCCGGGTGTAGGGTTCTGGCATCCAAGGTTGCAACCCTCACCACAGCACTGCACGAGTCATTAATGCTCAAGTTCGGAAGCATGTCTGGGTCATGCCAACGCAGAAATAGTCCACAAGGCGCATTGCACACGGTCACCAGCTGGTGCACGTACACTTCGCTATACTGTTCCCAGAGGCCCCAAAGTAGTTCCTTCTTGGGATTACCTTAAAGGATTCTATATACGAGCCCAAATAAATAAGGAATTACTTTGGGGCCTTTGGGTTGTCTGATAAGCCCAAACCCGAACGCCGAAGCCCAAGAGCTCTAAATTCGAAACCCCTGAGCCGCTAATGAAACCCTTAAACTCCCAGAGCCGAAACTACATGGGCGTTTCCAAAAATTAGGGATACCTGATTTTGCGGTCCTTATTTTTAATAAGGATCCTACTGTTTAGGGTATTATAATCGGGTCCCCTATTTTCGGAAACTCCCACATGGGCATAGGGTGGGGTCGGGCAGCTCTCTTGGGATCAACACGAAAGAGGCGCAGCACGAGTGCTTAGCCTGTTCTGGGTGCATCCTAGAGGTCCTAAATCCTAACTCAGACCGCAGATTGATGACGTGCCTGTGTCCTGTCCTCGTACCACGACCTTTTAAACAAGGGTTATGGAAGGAGGGCTCTACAGTCTACATCAAACCCTCCCCGATTAAGCCCACAGCTTTCATACAGTCCCATCGAGTTCAGTGTAAGACCAACTACAAAATCCCCTCAAGGTCACAGTCCGCGGCCGTCACGTCACGCCTCTGGAGACAGACACCTGCGACGACACTGACTTCAAGGAGGCACCCTCCTCAATTTTAAGTCTTAACAGTTGCTTCAAGAGGTTCCTGTACGGGTTTAGGATTAAGCGTTTAGGATTTCTTTAGCCGTGTTTAGGGCCTTAGGCCAGAGGTTAGGGCAAACATGATCCACCCCTGAGTCACTGTGGGACTAAAGGACCTAGTAATCAGGTGCTTGAGTTTAGACAATAGACGTGGGGCTATGCAGGTTTGCTAGCAGTATTGGGGAGAACATGTTATGGTTCTTGCTAGGCACCAGGATACTTCGACTCTTATGGTGAGCGTTGGATTCCTCCACAATCCATGTCATGTTCTGCCTGTGTCCCTTCACGCGGACTTGCAGGTCCAGTACTCAGCGATTCAGGAGGTGACAAGCCAGCTCAGCTCACTTAGACTTACTTCAAGCGCCAGGGAACTGGAGTGTAACATAACCCTAAACTGAGATCCCTTGGTACATCATGGACCAGAATTTATCATCCTTAACTCCATTGAAGAGTAAACACAATCCGGAATCACCAACATACCCTAAAACCCCAATCAACCCTCAAGCCCCCACAACCCTACCCAAAACCTCAGGTGTTGAATCAGGGAGCTGGACGGCAGGCCGGGATTGCAATTGCTGTTCGTGAAAAGCTTCGGCCTTCGGGGTTACGGAATCTTGGCGTTCTTCTGGTTGGCTCTTTAGACTTTAACTTTTTGGGTTTCTATATGAACTATAATAAGGAGGCTAAAAGTTTAACTTTTAGGAGGGGTTCAGAAGTTCGCCAAGGAATTAGGATGTTGAGGTGAAAGGTTTAGGTTTAGGGATTCAGGGTTTTCGCTGCTAGCGCCTCGGGGGTTTCCGGTCTTGGATGATGACTCGGACCATCCAACCAGTCGTGCAGAGGGTACCTGAGTATTTGGTGTATTTCAGTGTGAGGTGTAGGGTCCTTCGCGAGCAACTGAACGGGTGACAGTGTTGTGTCTGGGTGCATGGGCTGAGCTCCGCTTATGGGCCCTGCAGTAAGCCTTTTCCCTCAATAGCAATAGGAGCAGAAGCCAGTACTTTGGCCAACCGCAGCCTACCTTGTTGTACCATCCCTAAAATCTCTGTGTGTGCGTGTGTGTATGCGTGTGTATATGCATATACATACATGCATATGTGTGTGTACTACAGACGCCGGCGGTGGATTGGGGTCCCGGCGGTTTGACAGCATCGTAGGCGGCCGTACTGTAAGTTGATTTTTGTCAGGGGGTTGCACGGTTGAAATCGGCTTTCGGTAGCCGTTGTATAAATAAAGGCCATGTAGGTTGTTTGTAGTAGGTTGTATCTATTTTCTTGTAACAACACAAAGACACACGCGTCGGATGTTTGCTACAGGCAGTTGGGAGTTTGAAGGTTCTCGGTTCAGGATGGGAGAGGCTCTGAGACGCTTAGCGGTTACTGATTTTGGGGTTTAAGTTCCAAGCCTAATCTTCAAACCCCGGTTTTATCTTATTGATGTGCTCTGTCTGTTTCTCTAAACTCTAAACCTTGGGCCCTACACCGGAAACTTTAAACTGTATGGCATGGATGTCTTCGACAGATCTGCAAAAGCAGAAGGCAGGCCGTCGAGGCTGCGCTGGGCTAATCTCACGCACCTTGGGGGACTTCAGAACAAGTCGTACCTTCTTTGCAACAGCCTGCCGAAGGAGGTCATGGCCCCAGGTTTAGCTCAGAGTTTAGGGGTGAAGGATCTGTCCTTAAACAGCCATATGGGGGTTTCCGAAAATAGGGGACCCTAACACAGTACCCTAAGCTGTAGGATCCTTATCATAAGGAACCACAAATAAGCTACCCCTAACTTTCGAAATTCCCATATTACATCATCATGCAAGGAGTACTCCTTGACAGTGTAGGACTGGAGCCTGGGGCAGCAGCCCAAACCCCCAAGCCCTAAACCGTTTAAACCTTACCCCCAAAACCCTGGACGCTATAAACCCCTGAAGCCAAAAATCCTAAACCCCTAAATCCACAACCCTTAAGTCTTAAATCCTGAAAGCTGAATCGTAAGCCCGAAACAGGCCGAGACCGTGCAATGCGCCGCCCTGCTCAGCACGAACATCGTGCGCGTGCGCGAGCTACTGCCCGGGCCTTAGATGTTGCTTCCTGTTTGAGGCTTTAGGGTTATGGCTTCGTGGATTTATGGCCCCAGTGTTGGGTTTTCTGGGCTTGAGTTTTTAGGGGCATGTCTTTAGAAATTAGGCCTTCGGGCTCAATTCAAAGGGGAAAAGGAGGGACCCTTAATGGGGACCCCCACCCTATAATGGCCTATATAATGGGTATACAAGTGCTATATTAAGGGTATATAAGAGCTAGATTAAGGGTATATACCTAGGGGTCCTTATTACGGGTCCTTCCTTTTACCCTTGGATCCATGGTTTCATTGCCCTCTCACTCTCAGGATGTCATTCTTCGGATTGCTCCTGGCATTTGCAAGCTACAGTAGAAGCCCAAGAGTTGGAAACCCAAAAGGCCTCAAGCCTTAAGAGCAATGTATAGGGAATCCCAGCACTATTGGGCCTTAATCCGGTTTCCAACTTTTTGGGGTTTGCTGTACATCCCCTGGGCATCAAAATATCCCAAAAGCCTTATATAATGTGGTCTTTGGGCCCAAAAGCCTTAATAAATGAGTCCTTAGATGCCTAGGGATCATTGCTGATTGACCGGCTGTCGAGATGCTGGGCACCGTGCACGTGGCCATGCTGGACTTTGGGGCTCCGAACGCCTCACCCCAAATGAGGGTGGGCCGTACTTACAGGATCATGGGACTCAGAAACAAGGCTTATTATTGGGGTAACTTTACTTGTAATTACTTATAACCCCAATTAAGGGACTTATAGCTATAATTACTCAGTCCCATGATCCTCCAAACATCCCAGCAGACACTGCTGCGTTCACAGCGGCTGCATGAACACTACGCTGATGGACTGCAAGCCGAACAGGGCACCATTTCGGCCAAAGGTGCATTGATGGGAAGAGTCGAGTGCTGGGGAAGTAGCAAGTCTTTTGATTGGCTGGGCTTGGATACATCAAACTTACGAAATGCAAATTAGGCAAGTGTTGACGCCTATTCGGATATGGTCTCGAATGTCTCGGTACTGGCTAGAGAGATTCAATTTCATGTTGCTGTGTTTGACTGTTGAGATCTAGAGAATCCAGTAGATCTCGCAAGTTCTGATGCAATCATACTTCTACCCCACCTCTCCTGAGCTTGACGCCCGAATCGGCATGGGCTCGTGACGTCAGACTTCCAGTTTTGTGGGACCCACCCTGCTATTCGGACGTCGTCCTCGCCAGGCGGGACGCAACAAAAGCGACCTCAGACATCCTGGATCCTAAACTGCCTGAGACCCTCAAACCCCAAACCACAAGACCCAAAACACTCAACCCCCAAACTCTGAAATCCGCCTGTTAGCTAGAAGGCTGTAACTTACCCTTCTATTATAGGTAGAGTGATGCCAAACTGTAGAAACCCTACATAACCCTACGGTTTAGGACGTCTGGACTTTCGAGGTCGCAGCCGTATCGCGTGACGCGCTGGGAAGGCATTCGACTGTTTAGGGTTATTTAGAGGTCTAGGGCTTCGTGGTTTCAGGGTTCAAAAGAAATGCTGAGAGACATGGGGCCTCAACCTCGTATCGTAGGAGTCTCGGGGACGTAATTACCATATGGGTGGTTGTCAAAATTATGGTCCCTTTTTGGGTCCCTAATATAGTACGGCACCTATTATTTAGGGTACCCGAAAAGGGACCCTAGTTTTGACAACCCCTCATAGATCGGGGCCTTTGGGTAGAAGATGCTAGAAGACCCAACAGAGACGGATTTTAGTAACACCCACTTAGAACCCAGTAGCCAAAGCGCAAGTGACCATCAGAAAGCTTCACGCCTCAATAGCTATATAAACCCTAAGCAATTTACACAACCCTAAAGCCGGAACCCTTAGTAGACTGAAGCTTCGGCCCTTTACATTTTCTGTTCAAAAAGACTCCGGTCTGTAAGCCCGGTACTCTACACAATGCCCTGGCCGAGCTGCAGGGCTAGTCCTACCCTGCAGTTTCGCTCCTTACGGTTTAGGGTTTAGGATGTAAGGTTCAGTTTGTAGGGCTTAGGGCTATCAAAATGCATCGAAGCCCGAGACTGTGCTACCCGGTCCAGATCCCCACAACCCTGGCCTTGCCTGCCTTGTGCGAGTGTGAGCGTCGAAATCCTGAAAATCCTAAAGCCCCCGAAACCCTGACATCCTTAAATTCTTGGAAGGACGTCGCCCTTGAGCCCCTGTAATCCCTGTCAACGGAGTCTTCAACTCGCACTAAGCCGGAAGCATGAAACCGTATTCAGTGGCCTCTTCCCGCACAGCATGCTTGATTGTTGTGTGTTTGAAGATACCTTATAAGGCTGTCGTGTTGATAAGTGTATTGCGTATTAGTTAACCTACTCATTGAGTCCCTTCATTGAGTCCCTGACCTTGTTCAACTCAACACTGACTTCCAAACCCTAAACCCTAAACCCTAAGCCTTGTTTCTTCAAATTGGCCCAGGCTTCAGAGTCTTGGGCTTTCGGCTTTGCCGATGATGTGCGCGTCATTCTGTGCACCCTATTTGGGAGTTTCCGAAAATTAGGGGTACCGTATTTTAGGGGTCCTTATAATAAGGATCCTACTATATATTTAGGGTACTATATTAGGGTCCACCATTTTCGGCAACTCCCCTGTGGACCCTATTTGGCTGCCCACTGCGCAGCTGCGTCGGCACAGTGGGACAGGCATTGCGGACTCGATGACATCTCGGTACGTCTGCACTGTGAGCACGAGGTCTTCTTAGCTGCCACGGGATCCATGAGAACCTCCTGTTCAGCGGCACAGACTGAGCCTCGACTTCTCGAGGTCCTGGAGCAGGACTTCCACCCTGGCACCTACAACGCGGGCAGTAGAACTGCAATGCTGCCATGGAGCGGAAAAGTTTTGGGCGGGTACTCCTGCACATGTTACTGACAAAATTCTGCATACCGTGATTACAGTGTTTCTGATGGCACCCTTCCTGAAGCGTGCCTGCCCACACCGTGATACGAAAAGAGGCCATAATCGGGAAACTTACAGTCTTTTTATAAAAAAGAGGTCCATAAAACCCAAAACCCTCAGCCAAGCCAACGACAATTCCGAGACTCTCTTGTTGCCAGGCTTAAGTGCTGTAGTCCTGCCTTTTACTGGCGACTACGTTCGTCTCTATGACATGGAGGAACCATGGGCCGATGGGGAGCTGGTTCTGGAAGGGTAGAGAATTTGGAGCCTCGGGGATTCAAACGTGGCAATTTGGCTTTACGGTCTTTGGGGTTTCAGGGAGAGGGCATGGCGGCAGTATTGCTTGCTGGCCGGATGGATCATGGGTTGGAATCGGTAGAGCCAGGTTATAAGAAATCTGTCCAGCACCATAAAGATGGTGCAACGTGAAGTCCGTGAAAGTAAACACCGAAAACATGCACGAATTACTTAGGGTCTGAGTAGGTAACCAGTTTCAGCTTGCCATAGTTTAACAGATTTAACAGGTTACTTAGCCGTTCTGGGGCTTGGAGACTCTGCCCTGACATAAACTGCTTGTACCCGACAATCAGAACCCTAAATGCAGGCATGCCGTTTTGGTGGCACCCGTCGCGGGGGCTGTATTCTTCATTTGTTATTATTTCCATGACCTTTCAACGCAGATTAGATTAGCTTGCATGCTTCTACAACATACAAGAATAATAGCAGCTTACACGTCCTATGTGCGGTTTTGAAAAGATTCTCTGATATTTCTTGCTTACTGGATCATGTCCAGTGGTGCCGCCATGCCTATACGAGCAACTCATACTTGTACTGTCACTTGTTATTCGCAAGTGCACCTGCTTGTTTGATTTTCTGACGTCGGAGTTGCCTTGTCACTGAATTTGTGATAATACGCATGAGAAGAACTGAGCCAATACGTGCAAACCGTACACAAGGGTGTCTTACAGTCCTGTCGACGGATCTGTTTGCCAGCTTTTTCCTCCCCCTTGTGATGTTCCTAACTCAGACTAATGACGAATGAACATCCCCACCCGCACCTACTCCCTTTACTCCTGCTTACCCCCAAACCCTAAACTCCAAAACCCTAAACCCTAAACCCTACCCTAAGCCCCGAACCCCAAGCCAGGCTCATCCTTGATAACTAGGAGGGGAAAACCCTCAAAACATAGACGGTGCACCACGACTTCTGTGCGACCGTTTTGCATATGGAGTTTAGTTAAGATTTAGGGGTTTAGCGCCTCCAGATTTGAGCAGAAGATGTGGTTGCGGGAACTGTCAGTCCTGCGGTGTTTTTTGGTTGAGACAGTTCGAGCAGGGCGCTGTTGTGTTCATAGACTTGCCTCCTGAAGAGCGTCAGATTGTATTATTGGATTAGCCCGACACCCGAATCACCGCCAGCTTTCCATATGCCCTATTCCATGGGGTGATAACATCTTACGGAAGGAAGTGAAGCTATACTTATACCCCGGCAAGCTGTTACGATACTCTGAAATCTAGTTTCTAAAACCCTTCACAGTAACGCTATACCGAGTACCCCGACACGCTATTACGATACCCTGGAGCTTCTTTTCACTTCGCTGTGTCACTGTTCGACTCCTGTGCAAAAGACGATACCCTGAAGCCCTGAACCCCCAAACCCTAAACCCCCTAAACCGCTTAACCCTAAACCCCTAAACCCTAAACCCCTAAACCCTAAACCCTAAACCCCAAACCCTATACCTCCTAAAAACCCAAAGCCCCGGCGAGGACTTCGAAGAGCACGAGGCTTGGGTGCCACAGCTCTTCGAGCCAGTGAGGCCCCGCCCTGAGCATGAGTTTAGCATGTGTAGTTGTCAATATTAGGGGTACCTTTAAAGGGATCCATAAGGGTTCCTCAAAGGGATCTATAAGGTTTCTAGAAAGGGTTTAGGGTTTAATCTAGTCGGAGTTAGGATTAGGGGGACCCTTGGGGATATAGACCCTTGCAAAAAGGTCCCTTTTAAGAGAGCCAGGAGTAGGGTTCGGAAGGGGTACCCTTTAAGGGGGGCCGATGGGAGCTAGGTCTGAAATATGGGAGTTTCCGAAAATCAGGGGTGCTTTATTTTGGTGTCCTTATAATGAGGATCCTACTATTTCGGGTGCTAGAGTAAGGTCCCCCATTTTCGGAAACTCCCATATAGGAGCCTGAATAATTACCTATACTATTTTGGGGCTTCTTTATTAAAAATAGTAATATGGGCGTTTAGGATTTAGTTTGGGCATTATAGGAGAGAAAATTGTTGTTAGTAATCCTACGCCGTGGTTCCTTCATAGTATACCTAAAGTATAATTACTTCCACCCTGCTGGCGTGGTGGTGTGTTGGTGAGAAGTGTGATGCGGCCGCACCTGCAGAGATGTGAGGGTGGAGTGTAATGTGTGGGACCTGCTCCAATGTACCATCATAGGGTTCAGGGCCCAGGTTCGGGGCAACGACATCAAGCACATCGCGGCCTTGATGTGCTTGCTTAGCCATGCCATCATGCTAATCACCCCCGCTTTCGCGATGGTACTGCTAGCCGTTTGGCATGTGTTTGCGTGTTTTGGTCCTCCTTATCTTTGTCTTGCTGTTGTCGCCACGAGGTGTACTGGCGGTCGACGCTTATATACCCTGGGCATCAAAATAGCACAGAAGCCTTATATAGTATGGTCTTTGGGCCCAAAACGCCTTAATATATGAATCCTTAGATGCCTCGGGTTATCCAGATCATACTCATCTCTGTTTTCTTTGGCTTCACCTTCAGTCTCCATCGCAACCTTGGGTTTGGAAGTCCTAGACTCGTTAGAGCTTGAGCCCCGCACCTCCAAATCTCAGAAGACCACGCCAACCATGCTTGAAGACCTTCAATTCACAATCATTAAAGCCCGATCAAGAAGCCGGCACAGCTCCTACTAAATTCAATCGTCCTACAGTATGCCCCAGACCCCGATGCCAGACAATTCCGGCAGAAAGTCCTTTGATTGAATGAGATCTGAAACCCTGAATAGTATAGACCCCAATCACGAAAGCTTTTGCATCCCTAATCTCATCTTAGTGCTCCAGAGCCCTTGCAGAACGCTCATAGACCCCTTACTAAAACATGTACACTGTATACGCTGCAAGCAGCTCAAAATACACTGCAAGCAACCTAAACACTAACCTTCTTGGATGGAAAGATGCCCAGCGGAGCTAGGCTGAAGTTCTTTGTCCGGCCAGTGGTGCCGCAGGTGCGTCAGAGCTTGGAGGGTGAGGGTTTAGGGTTTAGGGGGTTGGGGGGTTGGGGTTTAGGGGTTTAGGGTTTAGGGCGGTGTCGAAATCTTTGCAACCTCGAATCGAAATTCTCTGTTCTTGCTCCGAGAAATGGAAGACAAGGAGGTCCTTTCTAACGAAAGGTGAGAAGCGAGATTCTTCTGCACTGGCTGGCTTATTCCCGTAGTGCAAAGATCTTGAAAGGGGAGGCTACGAAGATGAGACCGGAAGGTTCTGTCCTCTTAGGAAAAATGACCAACGTCTACGAAGGCACGCGTCATGGAGGGGTTTTGTTGCATCATCATTGCGCAGCTTTTATAGGAATCGTTGTCGGGCTTCACATGTCTTTAGGAGATTTGCGCAATTTTTGGGTTATTGTGTGGAGGAACGGCTGATAAGATCCTGAAACACTTAAACCCTCCTGGCCTGCTTCTGCGAGCCTCCCTCGGGTTTAGGGCCACGGCCAGGCAAACTCCTGCACCAGCACACGCTCTAGTTATACTACACAGCGAGATGTGAACCTCGACGCTGCTCAAATCATCGCGGCAACCTCCAAACACTTTTTTTCCACCCCTACTGATACCGACTAAAAGTCTCTAAAGTCTTTCAAGGTTTTGTAGCAAACCTTACGACATTCTTCACAACTCGTCACTTGAAAAGCATTAAGAACACGATTGAGACCACCCCCCCTCCCCCACCCCCACACCCTACACCCCCCCACGCACCCACACCCTTACAAAAAGGACATCCTCTTCTTCCTGCTCGAAGAGACGGATCCCAGCGCTTCTGTGGTCGTTCTGGCTGCAGTGCATCCGAAGGTGCGGCAGGTTTGGGTTTTGGGTTCTGGGCTTGGGGTTCGGATATAGGGGGTTCAGGGTTTAGGGTTTTAGGGTTCAGGTTTTAAGGTTTAGGGTTGAGGGTTCAGGGTTTAGGGTTTTAGGGTTTTACGGTTTAGGGATGTTTAGGGTTCAGGGTTTAGGGTTTCTTCAGCGACTGTGTCAAGGCGGATTCCTGATTATGACTCCTCCTGCCCCAAAGTAAGGACGAAGACGGCGATCTTAAGATAAGGACCTTTAGCACTACAGGGCGTTAATGAATCAAGTGTCTACACACTTATCTGGTTTGTGAGGTTGTTTGAACTGCTTGCTCCCGGGTTCTTGAAAGCTTTCATGCTAAATTTAAGGTTTTAGGGTTTTCGATTGTTTGTCAAGTGGTCGATTGGAGTTTTCGGGATTTAGGGGTTAGGGTTAAGGCTTAAGGGGCGATAATCATCAATTAGCGTTTTCGGCTCGTGGCACTTAGTAGGCGGGTTACAAGTACGGTTTAGGGTTTAGGGTTTAGGGGCTATGGTTATAGGCGCCCTAATCCGAAGTTGCCCCTGCTTATTATCAGCCACTTGCCAAGTCCCCTGATCCTTTCGGTAAGTCTCGGGCTTAAGGGGCACGGTCATTTCGGGCTTTGGGGCTTTCATCCATGCGTCCGTGCCACTCATAATGAACGATATACCTGTTCTCAGCTTGGTCCCAAAAGGTGAGTTCGTCAACAAGAACCACTAAGTGCTCGTTGAGCTTCATAAAGCTAGGATTCCTTTTTCCATGCCTGTCTTTATCTTCACGGCCGAAGGCTTCAAGGGTTTATGGAGCGGCTCCTTATTTGCAACTCTATGGGGCATGAGCCCTGGCTAGAACGATCATCAGGGTATTTTCTGTGCGGAACTTTGAACCCATCCTTTAGCAACATCTGCTGAGTTAACGCAGTTGCCGAACTCCAAGCCTAAGCCGAAACCTCAACCGTCTCCCTACTATTTGCTTAAGAAACCCCCAAAAACTGAAAAATAATCCCTATATTACCCCCATGAGGAATACATTTTTTATTTTTTCGGGGTTCTTAAGCAAATAGTAGCTTCGTCTCAAACCTGGAGACCAAAACCTCAACTCCTGGCCACTCGGCCTTGCGTAAGCTCGGGATGATTGGGCGGACGTAAAAAGGAGCTCAAAAACAACTTCAACCCCAAGCAAACCGTAAACCGTTCGTTCAGAGGTGCGGGGCAAAGTGTGGAAGGAAGTCGTGCTCTTCCGAGACTTGCGCGTGGTCCAGGCGGAATGAAGCAGAACGGTTTGGCGAGCACATAAACTGGAGATCCGACTAGGGTTTAGGGTTTATAAGCTACCTCCTCGGCGAGGGGCCGTAAAGCCTTAAATCCTAAACAGCAAAGGGGATCTGTAAAAGGCCGCGACCGTGTTTTCTGCTGTCGCTTGGCTAGAAGGGCTTGGGGGCTTCATGGTGTTATCCGCGAAAAACGAAGAGTATGTGTAAATGTCTCTGTATATGGGTGGTGTCAAAATTAGGGCCCCTTTTTGGGTCAGTATTATACTACGGCACCTAATATTTAGGACCCTAATTTTGACAACCACCCATATGAATAGGCTCTTGAGTCCTTTGAATGTGATTTCACAGCCTATATAGGGTTCAGTACATCCTCCTATCCTTTCAAAGGTAAGAATAGGGATCTTGATGCTGAGGCCCTTCAGGAAAGCGGTTCCTACATCAAGGGCTTATACGGCTTAATAACAGGCTTTCAAGCTTAGGGCTCAAAGGTTAAGGATTTTAGCATTTTCCTACATAGTGATGTTGTTCGGTGCGTTAGGGTCTTCAGGGCTGTTGGAGTTCCCGTCATGGATCCTGAGGACGCTGTGTAGGAGCCGCAGTACTCGGAGGATCATGGGACTTAGTAACTATAGTCATAAGTCCTTTAATCGGGGTTATAAGTAAGTATAAGTATAGTTACCCCCAAAAAACCCTAGTTACTAAGTCCCATGATCCTTTAAGTACTGAATCTCCACACAGCTCAAGTCTTGAAGCCAAGCAGACACTGATCGGATGAACCGCAGAAGTCTTTGTTGCAAAGGTTCCCACGATCGTCGCGACCATGTCCGAAGAGTCCTATACTCAAGGAATATCCCTGAACTCTTATACGGACACCCTACTCTCTCTCAGAAAACGGGCTGCCGTCCTTCCTCCGCGGTAGCAGACCTCACCCCCAAAACCCTAAAGCCTCACCTCCGATGCTCTTGCGGTGCAGGTCTTCAAGATCGAATCATATGGGCATCAGCACTACAGGCTCTGGCTGGCATTCCGGGCTTAGGGTTTTCGGTTTAGGGTTATTGTTCCTTCGGAGAACCCTAACCACAGGAATGACCTTGCCTAACACAGTCCGACTGCGAGTCAAAACATTCCCGTGATTTGCGTTGTCGGATTTCAGGACGGACTATTATTCTCGCCGGCTGAAGCCAGAAGCCCAAAACCTTTAACACAGGAGTCACCCAAAATGATCAAATTTTGCCCGCGATTTTGCAACTGAAGCTAGTCACATTTGAGCTGTCTGAACACGGTCTACCGGACCGCAGCGTCTGAGAAATCGGCACTTTGGTTGTTTATTCTGATACAAGTAGACAGGCGTACACGACCTGTTCTGTTGCAGAAAGGCCGCTGCGTTTGCGTGCGCCGTTTTAGACGGCTTAGGGCGCAGTGACTCTGGAAATTGAAAGCCAACGCCCGCCGAAGCCACTTGGGACAGACTAGGGTGCGCATCAATAATGTGCATGTTCGATTCAAGGCTTCCCGCTTGTGGTTCAGAGCAATCCACCAGAGTCCGATTTTGACTTGACCTCATCACCAGCTAACTCTCGGCTGTTGTGGACGTTCGCATCCCGGTTTTGCTAAGGCTTAAACCCCAAACCAACCCAAAGCCCTGTATGCCCTAAGGCCTGACCTGCATTAGTCCAAAAACACAGACCTGGCACTGCACCGTAGGTCCCTGGAATATACGACGAACTCGCGCTATTGCCTGGCCGACACTAGGCATGCAACCACATGGTCCCGGGTTTTCTCTGTAGGATTTCGGATGTCGGACAATTTAGTGCAGGTTGCTTGTTCTGACAGGGCTTAAGGTTTCGGATTTGAGATTTTTGGGTCGGGGTTTAGTGTGTGCGAGGTCTCGGGTTTAGGGGCATGCGTCTGCTAGTGTGGGTGATGTGCAGCTGCGGTTTTGTTTTGGCTTGCACATACAGCCACAATGTATTTCTCGGCGCGCTTCCAGCTGTGATGAAGCCCCTAGGGAGGTTGCTACGCGTATTACGGGGTACTACGCACTTAACGATGATACTCCGTCATGGTCCCTGTGGTTATACGATACTCTAACCTATGCGAAACTATCTTGCTTATTCGGCCCCTGTCTCAGTGTTGTAGGACAGCCATCGCTTGGGCTGTCGCCCCAAATCAGAGTACTGGGAACCCTGCTTCTGTTGAGATCCCAGATTCATAACTCCCTTTAGTGGCCCTAGTATTCGGAAGCTGCTGAAGAGAACCCTTAGATACTCAGGGAAGGGGTTTATGAACAGGGCTCTGCATTGCCTATAGACCGCCAAGCACGGCTCCCTTCCTAAGTAGCCGCAGAGAGCTTGCCCACGATATTCCATCGTGAAGCAGAATAGGGGCCTGAATGATTATCAATACGGTCCCTTAAGGGCCTTAGGGATGCTTGACATAGATATATTAGAACACCCTATTACTAAACCCTAAACCCTAAACCCTAAGCCCTAAACCCTAAACCCTAAACCCTAAGCCCTAAACCCTAAACCCTAAACCCTAAACCCAAACCCCTAAAAGAACCCATTAAGGCCCCTATACCATTGGCTACCAAGCCCTCGTACGACCCTTCTTCGACAACCCTTAAAGGGAACTCCAGAAAGTTGGAATCTGGTTTCAGGGTAGGATACCCTGTAATTTACCTTAAAGGGGTTACGATAATGATATTCCAACTTTCTGGCTTCTACTGTAACAGAATCCGAATGCCCCTGTGTTGATGTTGTATGATCCTTCAGGCGATGAAGCTGTTGTAGTGCTGTTGTAGTATATGGAACCCCAAGGCTTGATAGGGCGTTAAGTCCTGAACCCTGCTCCCAAATATCTGAAGGGTTCTTAGGGTTTAGGGTTTTTAGGGTGTGTGTGTTTTCTGGGAAACAGGTCTGAACCCCAGGATCGTAAACGCTCAACAGTCTTAGCCCAAAGCCCTAAGACATCTAACTCACAACTTAGGCACCCTTACAGAACCCTTCAAGGTACCCACAAGGTAACTCTTATAGGAACTGACGGAACCCGTAGCGAGAAGTCCCAAAACACCAACTGACTCAGCACCTAAGGAGAAGCAGCCGAGCCCGAACGACCGAGACGACCCATGGCCGGCGACTCCATTGCAAGTCTGCAAGCTTGTAGTCTTTATTTTCGGGCTGTTAGGGCTTGGGGTTGAGAGCTTAGGCTCAGTAGCTTAGTAGGCATATGGGCACTCGAAGATCTTCGGCATTGCAGGGGAATGAACCACGTTTGTCTGCCACCTATAAGAATGGAACCTAGAGCAATCGCTCACACTTCCCTTTTTGGAGGGTCGGGGGACTTAGTATCTGGTTATCTTATAGACTTATAAGTACCATAACACCAATTAGGGTCCCTTTTAGGATAAGTCTACTTACTAACTACTTACTAAGTCCCCCGACCCTCCAAGTTGACGGTGGACGCCTTGTGACCCCTCCCTGAGCCCCATGCACATGACCCTTTCCCTGCCTTGCTCTATCACCGGAAACGGTACGAGCCACCGCTTCAACGCTTGGATTGGGCCGTAGGAATTCGTCCGCCCCCTGTCACCTTTCATGATTCATAAAGGAGGCCCTTAACCCTACACTTCAACTCTTAAGCATCGACCCCAACCACAAGCTAAGACTCAAAATTATGGGAGTTTCCGAAAATTAGGGTGCCTTGTTTTGGGGTCCTTCTAATAAGGATCCTACTATTTAGGGTACCATGTTAGGGTCCCCGATTTTCGGCAACTCCCATATCCTACCCTCACCACCCCAAAGCCCGAAGCTGGCAGAGGATTGGGGTCGCTACGAGGCGGGCGCGCCAGATCTGATTCTTGGACTTACGTAGGGTCTTGGGTTCAGGGTTGTGGGTCGATGGCTTATGGTTCAATGTTTAGAGTTTCTGGGGTTGGGGGATTAATTTAAATTAGGGCGTAGGAACGTCCTAGGTCCAGGATTTTAGAGTGTGGGGTGTCGAGCTGATTAGACATGGCTCATACTTTGGTTGCGCGAAGGGTCAAGAGAGCATTCGAAGCTGAAAAGACCCCATATGAGCCCAAAGGTTTCAATTGGAGAGGCAAAGCTTACAGGAAATCTCGAGCAGTACCCGAACTCCAGATGCTACGCATCTCGGTTCGGTATCGCAGATGAACATCATGTTTGCATGGTGATAGCCCCGCGCAGCATGGCAAAACCCTTGACAGGGCAATTGGGGCAGTGGACTCACCATCAGGCATGGTTCCGGCTACTATAGGGGCCTGAATAATTACCAATACTATCTACTACCAATACTATTTTGGTGGTTCCTTATTATAAATATAGTATAACTGGCCCCAAAACCCTATTCTACTTATTAAGGCCCCGTCCCAGAGACTCCAAGATCCCTTCATGAAGGATTATACCTTAAAAAAACAGTACAACCCCTAGTATGATTTAAGGAATATTGACTTCTTAAGGGATATTGGAGTCTCTCCGTCCGTGACTTTCACCGCCTCGGTGACCGACAGTCAAGTCCTGGCGCCGATCAACTGCACGTCCTCGCGCCACATTCTTGCCTTAGCTTTCCCCGTAAGTTTTAGTCTTGAGACCTGCAACGATAATTCCAGCTGTTTTTTACATATGTCCATAAAAACAGCCCAAGCTTTTTTTTCCAATCAATCCTGAAGGCCTCTATATCCTAGAACCCTTGTCGTAACCCCCGTTATTGCTTATAGCAGCCCTCACAGACCCCTGCAAAGAGCCCCGTTCTAAGTGTTAAGACCAATAGTTAATATATACTTCTATCTACATTTGTTTCTGTATGTCATGTGTAAGCTTGTTTCATGATGCATCTCTGAACTTCCCCACCGTTCCTGGCCCCGAACGTGAGACATGCGATGTGCCGCAGAGCCATTCCTCCAAATTCGTAATGTCTTAGGTTTTAACGGCAAGACCCCGAATAACCCGGGTATGACTTTAAGTAAGGAGCATTGCAATTCGCGGCGTTTGAGTCAACAGGGTGTACGGCACATCGTGCTACTCATCTCGTTTGCGGAATCTGAGGAATCTCGCAGACCGACCACCAAGTGTTGCAGCCCATCTGGTTTAGGGTTTGGGGTTCCACTTTGGCCCGCAACGTTCTGAAGTGCGCAGGTTTACGGTTGAAGCCGGATTGAATCCACAGGCGGGAATCGCAGAACTTTATGGCAGCTGACACTGGCCATTACTAACGTCGTTGACGGGGTACCTTGTTTGGGGTCCGTATAATAAGGATCCTACTATTTAGGATACTATATTAGGGTCCCCTATTTTCGGAAACTCCCACGTACACCACAGTGCTTTGGATCTATTATAATCTTCGGCATCTTGGGCGTGGAGCTGCCATTCAATGTGGTGAATGCCGTCAACACTATTCAGGCACAATACAATGCAGCTGCTTTTTTTTGGATAATCCACCCTATGGTTAGGATCCTTTAATAAGAACCCAATGAAAAGAATGGAAAAACGAACTACATGTTAAGGCCTATGTGGGAGTTTTCCTTCTCGTAGATTGTTCCGCGAGGCCTTCAGACAAGCACTGGCAGTTCAGCTTCGGGCTTACATGTATGGCTCAGCAAACCCTAAGCCAGTGACAAATCTGGCTTGGTGCGGGTCGCTTCCGTGGTGGAAAGGGACGCACTGCACCTGTAAAAAAACATAAGTCCCAAATCAATGGTCCAGCTTGTTGGATCAGCCCCAAACCCTGAACCCCAAGCCCTAAACCCTATGCAACCCTACAATGAGCAGTAGATCCCGAGTTGCTTCTTCTTTGAGACCCCCCAGTCAAAAGTCACGACTTCGGAGGGTGGGTTCCTAGGTTGCTGTTCTATACAAGGCACTACGGGGCTACTTTGAGTCCAGGGTCAGTCTCAGTGTAGATAGCAGTAGGTTTGGACTTCAGGGCTTTAGGGTAGCCCATCACCCAGGTGATGTCAAGGACAATCGTGAAGGACACGGTGGGTGACGGCAGTGCCGGTGCTGGCTCGGACAAGAAAGACCCGCCGCATGTTTGCAAGTGGATGACACGTCCGTGCTTCCTTTAGGCCCCAACACGCGTGTAGATGCAAAAGATCGAAACCTATCCTTGTATGGAGGGCCTGGCGCACTGAAGAATCGAACAGTTTGAAGAGGCACCAAGCAGAACTGAAGCGAGAGGAAATCTGTCATGCTGTGCTGCATCCCTCAGCGGCTTAGCGCTGCCTGACCCCCATAAACATGAATGCCTCAAACATGGTACCTGGCACAGCCCTAGACCCGAAACGGCAAGTAATCGAAAGCCTTTTTAGGTTGGATGACTCGGCCGAATGGTCTGATGGTGAGCCCAGCGACGATGAGACTGAGCAAGAGAAGAAAGAAAGGACGGCTTCATGGCAGCATTGAAAGAGGGTTTAGGGCTTGGGGTCCAGCGGAATATGTAGGGCTTCTATTGGCGATCTTGCAGCGAGCGTACATTCGACTACTTCTGAATGTTGGTGTGTTTTGTTTTGGGTGTTCAATATGGGGGAAAGTAGGCTACATATGGCTTGACTACGAGGGCATGAGTCCAAGGTGCTTGGCTAGAAGTGTTTTTACTTGGGTTATAAGTAGATGCAACTAAAGTTGCTGTATGTACGACTCTTTTCATACCTCTTTGGGTAGTAGATCAGGGTTTACAGGATACTACCACGGGCCTTGGCAAAGTTTCAAAGTCAGAAAGCCGACTTCGGCCGGCAGAATCCACTATCCAAGGGCAACAGGAGGGACCCTTCATGGGGACCCCTACCTTATCATGGACCATTTCATGGGTATACAATAGCTACATTAAGGTTCTACACCTAGCGGTCCTCATTAAGGGTTCCTCCTTTTACCCTTTGACACTAAACCCAGCACCCCAAGCTAAGCTCAAATTCCCCATGTAATGTTTGTTAAGAAGGTCCCTGCGTGAGACCCCCCTGAACCTGCAAGTTGTATGCGACCCTTTCACATGGGGATCCCTACCTTATACTACCGTTTGTAAGCTCTTAGCATCAATCCTAATATGGCTTTTCTAGGGACCTGACAAAAAAGTGAGTTTTGGTAGGGTAAGGTAAACCCTAAACTCTAAACCCTGAATATATGTGTATATATATCTTTATATCTATATATATATATATATATATATATATATATATATACAACAAGGAGCCTGGCGGGGCAGGTTAGGTAAGTATTTAGGCTTGTATTTCAAGCCCTCTCTGCAATTGGGATCCCTATCATAAGCCGGGTTGGGGGTCGTAGGTAGCGTGCCCTGAAAAGCGTCAGAATTGGCGCGATACCGATTGTTGAGAGCAGCCTTCTTCTCATGTGCTTTAGGGCTGAGGGGTTGGGGTCTCTAGGTATCTAGACTTCATGCCAGTACCCAAAAGCTTGCAACGGAGCTATCAAGCAGAGCGGTTGCACAATCTGCAACGATACCTCCAGGTATCGAGGCTCTCGGACTTTTGAAAGACAAGCTTGAAAGCCCTCTGCCCTAAAAGCCTTTGAGATCTCTGTATGGCTAAGGCTCACAAGTCTGGCATATTACGGCAGTAACTGTAACGGTAGCAAGGAGACCTCAGAAGCCGTGCCTGCTTTGTGCGAGTGTGCGAGTCGAAAAGCCTTATAACCACCCCGAAACCCTGACATCTCCCAGTCAAGGACAACGAAAGATACCAGTAAAGCCTTTCCCACCTGCCGGCCCTAAACCGGAAGCTCTAATGAAGCCCTCCCCGGATAGCTTAAAAAACCGTTAAATATGATTTAGATAATAGGGTTTAGGGTTCAGGGTAATAGTAATAGTCTCAGCGGCACATTTTTCTGGCAGGAACCGTCCCTGTCGATGAAGGGGTACATGGGGCTCTTACCCCTGAAAGACCAGGAAGCCTTCATTCGACCCTAATATAGGGGCCTCAGTAATGATTTTTTTTGGGGGGGCTCCGTACTACAATTGCAGTATGATGTACCCCAGAACCTTATCTTTGTTATTCGGGCCCCTATATTACACAACTTAAAATCAGCCCTAAACCCTAAACCCTACATGAGGAATCCTGAAAAGGTAGGTCTTTTCGGCTACAGGTAAGGGCCCTACACAAGTTGAAAACTATGCTGTTCAGTCGTACACTTTCTTACTTTCAGGTTTCTGGGTTCCAATTACAAAATAAGAAGCCTAAAAAGTGTATACTTTTGCACAGTGGGTTACTGAACAGCCTAAACCCTAAACCCCTAAACCCTAAACCCCTAAACCCCTAAACCCTAGACCCTAAACCCCTAAACCCTAAACCCCTAAACCCTAAACCCCTAAACCCTAAACCCTAAGCCTAGAAAAGGCCTCAAGAACTGAAGGTCTGGGAGCGGTCGCAGAAGGAGGGCGAGCAGTACTTGCCGAAGCGGCTTCTGAAAGGACTTGAGGGGCTCCTTAAAGGGGATCCTTTAGGGCCTCCTTAAATAAAGGGATCTCTGAGGGTTCTATAAAGGGTTTAGGGTTTGGGAGTTTCCGAAAATTAGGGGTACCTTAGTTTGGGCTCCTTATAGTGAGGATCCTACTATTTCGGGTGCTATAGTAGGGTCCCCTATTTTCGGAAACTTCGCTTGTGGCTTTTGGGGCTTAGGGTTTAGGGTTTTGGGGATTTCGGGCCTGGGGTTTAGGGTTCTTCGGGGTTCCGGGCTAAGGGTCCAGGGTCTTGCTTTGGGATGAGGGTTGATTGCGTACTCTCCCTTTAGTACTGTGGACCGGGTTGTCGCACGCCCACATCTGGTTTCATGTACACACACACACAGACGCACAGACCTGTGTACCAACAAACATAAGGGTAGAGAGACAGACAAAGAGACAGACAGACAATGCATCCATCCATTCCCCATGACTACCTTTTCTGTCTGGTTCTTCGTAGAGAATGGGGGAATGGATTCTGGGGACTACTATAAGGGACCGTAAGGGACTATCATAGGGATCCATTCCCCCATTCCCTACTAAGCACCAGGGAGTTTTATCTACTATTGTTTTCCATTGGTCCATGCATACATTTCACAACAAATTGGCCCAGCATCATCCACACGCCCAGCCTCCTTCCTTTGCGGCCAGGATTGCTTCCGGAAGGACTATTGCAGAAGTACTTCATCTACCAGCAGAACGAATCGCCGTGGCGGGCCGTCCGGGGCTATCCCAAGACTCCGGAAGGTGACTTGGTTTTCCGGTAGTACGTGTTCAGCCTTTTTTTGGGGGGCAGCCATTCGAAACAGTAGCTTTTTGGTGCCCAGAACAGCACCCCAAAGTCAAACCAGAAGCCTGAGAGAGTTCGTTGACTTGGTGACGTTGATGTTGGTGCTTCAGTGAACCTGAGAGAGCCGTTCTTTTTGGAGGAGCACATATCCCTGAAGGGATGGACAGTCTCGCGAGCGAAAGGCCACTGCACTTAAAAGAAACAAACATGAGCCCTGGTACCCGCTATACGAGACCGCATGCATGCTGACGCTTTAACCAACGAGCTTGCCCTTCCGAAAGAACTTCCAAACCCCTGAACGGACCCCTAAACCCTACACCCTGAACCCTGGGCCCCTAGGTGGGTGGTTGTCAAAACTACGGTCGCGTTTTGGGTACCCTAATTATTAGGTGCCTTATTCTATTAAGGACCCAAAAAGGGTTTAGGGACCTTAATTTTGACAACCACCCAGGTGAAGAAGAGAGAGATCCCGATCACCACCTCGAGATCAAGCTGGTCAAAGTCGGGAAGGCGCTTTGGATTTAGAGTTTAGGTTTAAGATTTATAGGGTTTAGGGTGTAGTGTCTAGGGTTTGGCGTTCAGGGTTTAGGGTTTTCATGGGGGTTTAAGCTTTGGGATGTGTGTGTTTTGGGGTGAAGGTTCAGGTATTAGAGGGTTCGACGGGTCTCATGAAGGCTCTCTAGGGGTAGAGTTTACATCGGGGCTTAACTTTCAGTCCGTGTGTGAGAGAGAGAGAGAGAGGATGTGTGTCTTGGCCAGTCTTGGAGTTATGTAAGTTTCTGGTATCAAAGGGTTCGGCGGGTCTCATGAAGGTTTTGTAGGGAGTTTACCATGGTGTAATGACGGTTCTATAAAGGGTCTGCACGGCTTCTATTGAACGGTTGTACGGGGGTGTAGTTTGGGGGGTTCCTACAAAGGGTTTGTATAAGGGTAGAGTCAGGTCGATGTTATTGGTTCCGCATTGGTGCTTCTTGCTTCATGGGGGTTGCTTGTTGATGCGGGTTCAGTATGAACTGCCGTCTTATATGGTGTCGTCATTTTGATCATAATTTCCCGGGGATTGCTTTGTGATGCAGCTTCATGTGAAACGTTTTTTTTATACAGAGCATAGTCATTATGATTATAACTTTCAAAGGACCTATCCATATCGATGGCTTCGCCAGAGAGAGGGGTCCGATCCCTAACTCTGAGAAACCACTGCCTGCTGTATAGTCACGGATTCCCCCTGGCTAGTCTTTGTAAAACCGTACTGCACTCAACCCCAATTTTCAGTGGTTAAAGTTGCAGCTGGCATGCGCGAAGTCGCTTAAGGTCTGGCAGTGGCAGACCGAAGTTTCATTTTAAGTTGTCGTTCTTCTATTGTTTCCTTTCTCTGCTGCCCTTACACTTTTCCTTCAACAAGCAGTGTTTCTCGAGCAAACATGCAGGGGAGCTCCGGTAAGGCCGCGGCACATGCTCGATGCTGTCTTTTTTTGGATTCAGTCAGGGTTTGCTTATTGTAACCTGAAGGTGCAGTATTGGGAACAAGTTAGCGCTGCGTTTGATAATTCAGGCGTTTCGCTCCCGCAAGTAAAACTCGATTCCCCCTGGCCCTAAACCCTAAACCCTAAACCTTACCCAAAGGCCCATAGTAGTTCCTTTGTGGGATTACCTTATAGGATTCTAAATATGAACCCCAAAAAGGAACTACTTTGGGGCCTTTGGGTAAACCCCATCGGGCTCCTTTGCGGCGAATGTGCAGGTGCCAGCGACCGGCCATCGAGGTCTGCTCAGTGAAGAGTTCGGGGTTCAGGGTGCATTTGGGAGTTTCCGAAAACTAGGGGTACCTTACTTTGGGGCCCTTATAATAAGGATCCTACTGTTTAGGGTACTATATTAGGGTCCCCTATTTTCGGAAACTCCCATTTGCTGTTGCAGTGTTTCGAGGCTTTTGCGGGCTTATACATTCGAGCTGAATTTGGGATCTATGGTCGGATTTGGAGGTTAGCCTGTAGACGCCCTTTAGGGTAAGCCCCCAGACCACCTGAAATCAGGTTGGTGTGCTCTGGTCCGAAAGCGGTGGAAGGCAGCAGGACGGAAGCCGTGGTACCTTCTCAACATGCTCCTCGGACCTACGTAGCTTAAACCCTGGACACCGAGTTGTCGGAGTACACATTGGGTGTAGGGGTTGAGGGTTTAAGGTTGTACTTGGGGGGTTTTGAAGCTCCCCTCCCATACCTAACACCCCAAAGGCTAAATCACGAAACTCCAAGCCCCTCAAACTCGGAACCTGGCGTGGCATGTCCGAGAGTAAGTGCAGACACCCCAGCTCTACAAGGTTCTAAATCCCAAACCCCTATACCCCTCAACCCCCCCATCCCCCTAGGCACGTGAGCCGCTGCTCTCGGTTCTAGTTGGATTTTGAGAGGGGGTGCGAGTAGTTCAATGGTTTTCGTTGTAGTGTTGTTGTGACGGATCATTCCCACTTGAGTTGTCTCACTCATCAGACCTCGAACCACATGCCTTGCCTGGATTGCCTGAGTGTGAGCGCCGAAACCCCTACTAAACCCCTAAACCCCTAACCGTGGGCATCAACATAGCCCAAAAGCCTTACGTAATATGGTCGTTGGGCCCAAAAGCCTTCATATAAGAGTCCTTAGATGCCTAGGGTAAGCCTCGCGAGGCTCTACGCCAAAGAAGGAACGCCGCTGCATTCCCTTGCTCGAACTCTTGTTCGACTGGAAGATCCCTGGTTCGGGGTACCCAGAGACTCCAATATCCCTTAATTGAGGAATATTCCTTAAATCATATTAGGGATCCTACTATAGTTGAAGGTATATTCCTTAATTAAGGGATATTAGAGTCTCTGAGTAGTAGGGGGGTTGAGGGGTTTAGGGTTTAGGATTGAGAGTTCAGGATCTTGGTTTAGGCTCTAGAATTTTAAGGTTTAGGGTTTAGCATTTCGCGTTTAGGGTGGTGCTGCAGGGTAGTACTTAGAGAATCAGGGGACTTAGTAAGTGGGATTGTAGGTACCCTTATTAGAGTTCTAAGTAGATGCAGCTTTACCTTACTTCTAACCGCTATAACCCTTTCCAAGTCTGCATGGTTTGGCGGTATTGGGGTTGTAGGGTACTAGGGTGTAGGGGTTCGGGGTATCAGTGTTGTAGGGTTGGGGGTTTAGGCTGGAAGAGTCCTGGTCGTGCTGGAGTTGCACCGTTTTGGCAATAGCAAGCAGTGGCAACAATAGTCTTATCGAGAATAGCGAGTTTTGGTTTGGGAGTCGTGTTTCGGTGCAGGTTTTGATGGTTTAGCGGTTCGTGTTTGTGTTTGTTGTATTCGGGCTCGGGTGGCTGTTTACGCAACGGAAGCATTATCTACTAGAATCTCATAAAGGGGCAGGCTTCTTGGAAATTCCCACTCTAAACCGTGAAACCCTGGAGCCCTAAACCCCAAACCCGAACTCCTGAAAGAGACCTCGTCTGGCTTCGTCCGAGTTGCGAGAGCGTAACTCCCAAACTCGAACCCCTAAACTTGAACTCTATACCCAAACCCCAAACCCTAAACTTGAACCCTATACCCCAAACCCTAAACCCTAAACTTGAACTCTATACCCCAAGACCTAAACTCCAAAAACCCTATAACTCCTCAGTTCCAAGCGGTTTCTTTCCGTTGATTCTTGCACAGCCCAGGACCTCTCGTTCATCCTGGCCTGGACGGAGCAGGACCTCTTTCTGACAGGTGTTTGTTCCCTGTTTGTCTAAGGCTTGAGGAGGCTTCCTAGGGATTGATATCAATGGTACAGTAAAGTAGAGTATAGCTTATAGTATGATAGCACTGTACAGTACAGTATAGTATAGTATGTCTCAACAAGAGTTGTTAAGAGCCGAGGTCTACACCCTCAACTCACCGCGCAGTCTTAAACCCCGGGACTCTTCAAGGCCCGGGCTTCAAAAAGAGCCCCAAACTTAGTTGGTTTACGGTTTAGGGTTATGTAGTTATATGCGTAGTCCAGGTGTAAAAGGCTTATGTAGTAACTAGTTGGTGCTGATGCTCTCAGGTTTTTAGGATTCAGTTTTTCAGGCTTAAAGGCGACACTTTTCTGCAGCCTGAACCCTTTGAAGTTTGGCATCCCAACCTCAAAATCCCAAACCTCAAACCGTGAACCCTAAAATGCCTGCGGCGCGAAAGGTCTGCCCCAACGCAAAACCTCTACATCTGACTCATCTAACATATAAAGCATACATTCCTGTAGAAACCCCATGCTTCAACCACGAAAACTGCTTCACCAGCCCCAAACCCGGAACCCTGTTTGAACATCGGCAGTTGGACAAGAGCGGAACAAAACAAATCTGCTACATGTGCTTTTAGGGCTTAGGGCTTACGGGCATTCCTTGAAACTTTTTGGAGGTTGGGGATGCTAAGGGGTTTTCCGATGACTTCTTAAGAACTACTGGGGCCATGGGATGGGTTTAGGCTTTGGGCTCCTGAAGAACTGTGAAGAACTGTTCGGAAGCGGGGTGTGGGTCAGGATCCACGCGAGCTGGGAAGCAATGTCGGGCGCGATCCTCCAATTCACCTCATCGATGCTTGTCTAAGCCTTAAAATGAGGTCTACTTTGGTTTAGGTTTTAATTGTACATCAGCTGTTAACCCGCAGCCGGTGGCAGGCGTATTTCATCAGAGTTTACCCCTCCAAATTCCGAAATAGGGTCATTTGGGGTGTTGCAGACTCATAAGCCCTGAAAGCTTGTAACACCATCTCCTTATAGTTCACATACAACTACAAAACAGTATAATATGTTGAAACGATGAAGGCATGCTGGGAGTTCTAAGTCTGTCGACCAGGGTTTGAGGTAGAGGCTTCAAGGTACAGGCATCGGCAGAGGGTGAACTGATACAGAGGCTTATGATACCCTAAACCCTAAGTGCTGTGTTTCAGGTTGCGACTCCTTCCCCAAAAAACTCAGCCAGGGGGTTTAAGGGGTTTAGGGTTTAGGTTTGGGGTTTAGGTTGAGGGTGTAGGGTTAGGGTTTGGGGTCGAAGGGGTTTGGGGCTTCGGGGTACGACGGCATTGTTTGAATAGCAGCGTCATTTCATTTCTTATCTGTACGTTAATCTGATGTTCTAACTTGGACCTTGGTCAGGCTAGCACACGCGTCTGCATGATTTCTTAGTTCTGGTATCCCGATATACCGCCTGTATAGGTCTAGTACTGGCCTGACATATGCCCAAACCATATTTCAGTAATGAAGGCCCCCGTGTCACGCGGTTGCGATTCGTCGCTCTCCACAATAACTCAGTTCTCCGGAGGCCGGCTCACCGGCTTCCGGGTGAGGGGCTTCTGGGTTTGTTGAATGAGGGCTTTGGTTGATTTCTCGCAGCCCTTCGGTTTGCTTGAAGAACTGTGGTTTTAGCTTCAAGTTTGCAGGCACTACCACTCACCTGCCAAGCCTGAACTAAACCCCAAACTGTAAGATAGAAGCCTTAAATAAGAGTAACACTAGGGCTTGGGGGTGGGTTTATATTATAGGTTTATATGCTGTTAGTGGGGAACACAGAGGAGCATTTTTGAAAGCCATAACTTTTTCAGACCCTTTGTTCAAACCTTTGTCTAGCCCGTCTGGAAGTGGCCAAACACCAAAAGATACCTTCTATAGCTATGGAGACCTCTGAAACTGAAAACAAGTCAGCCGAAAGAATACCATAGAAACTTCTAGAACCCCAGAAAAAGAAGATGTGTGCGTTGTATGATGTAGTTGCCAATCATCTTCCTGAGGGATCCTTATTATAAACGTAATTGCCATAGCATGCCCCCGAGCCCTATTCTAATTCTTACGGCCCCTGTAGTAAGGAGATGCCCCGTTTGCTGCTGTCCTTCGCGGTGAAGAAAGCTCCCGATGGCACGCGTGGTGCTTCGGGCAAACTTCTGATTCGTTTGGAGTTCGGATTTAAGGTCGGGAGGAGGTTGAGTTCGTTTTCGGGGTTCTTACTTTGTGAAAGTTTTTTATAAAGGCTCTGCCATAACCGGGCTCTGTGAGGTCGCAGTACCTTGCTGCAGGGCTGCTTGGGGCTGTTTCTCTGAAGCCTAGGACTCCCAGCTCCCTAAACCCTAAACCCCTAAGCCTAAACCCTTAAACCCCTAAGCCCTAAACCCTGAACTCCGAACCTGCAACCCCTAAACCCTAAACCCCTAAGAACTCCGAACTCTAAACCCTAAACCCTTAAACCCCTAAGCCCTAAACCCTGAACTCCGAACCTTCAACCCCTAAACCCTAAACCCCTAAGAACTCCGAACCCTAAACCCTTAAACCCCTAAACCCTAAACCCTGAACTCCGAACCTTCAACCCCTAAACCCTAAACCCCTAAGAACTCCGAACCCTAAACCCTAAACCCTAAGCCCTAAACCCTAACCCTCCGAACCTTCAACCCCTAAACCCTAAACCCCTAAGAACTCCGAACCCTAAACCCCCTAAACCCTGAACTCCGAACCTTAAACCCTAACCCCTAAACCCTGAACCCCTGAACTCCGAACCCTAAACCCTAAAACCCTTAAACCCCTAAACCCTAAACCCTGAACTCCGAACCTTCAACCCCTAAACCCTAAACCCCTAAGAACTCCGAACCCTAAACCCTAAACCCTTAAACCCCTAAGCCCTAAACCCTGAACTCCGAACCTTCAACCCCTAAACCCTAAACCCCTAAGAACTCCGAACCCTAAACCCTAAACCCTTAAACCCTCGACTTCAACCCCTAAACCCTAAACCCCTAAGAACTCCGAACCTAAAACCCTTAAAACGGCGCTAAACCCTAAACTCCCCCTTCAAAAACCTAAACCCTAAAACTCCGAACCTAAAACCTAAACCCTTTAAACCGAACCCGAGAAAAACCTCAAACCCCTAAACCCTAAACCCCTAAGAACTCCGACCCTAAACCCTAAAACCCTTAAACCCCTAAGCCTAAACCCTGAACTCCGAACCTTCAACCCCTAAACCCTAAACCCCTAAGAACTCCGAACCCTAAACCCTAAACCCTTAAACCCCTAAACCCTAAACCCTGAACTCCGAACCTTCAAACCCCTAAACCCTAAACCCCTAAGAACTCCGAACCCTAAACCCTAAACCCTTAAACCCCTAAGCCCTAAACCCTGAACTCCGAACCTTCAACCCCTAAACCCTAAACCCCTAAGAACTCCGAGCCCTAAACCCTGAACTCCGAACCTTCAACCCCTAAACCCTAAACCCCTAAGAACTCCGAACCCTAAACCCTAAACCCTTAAACCCCTAAACCCTAAACCCTGAACTCCGAACCTTCAACCCCTAAACCCTAAACCCCTAAGAACTCCGAGCCCTAAACCCTAAACCCTTAAACCCCTAAGCCCTAAACCCTGAACTCCGAACCTTCAACCCCTAAACCCTAAACCCCTAAGAACTCCGAACCCTAAACCCTAAACCCTTAAACCCCTAAACCCTATGTAAACCCTAACAACAAGTCACTGAAGCGAGCGCCAAACCCCGAGTCTCCCGGCCTTGGATGGATCGAAGCCTGGAACTACCCCCAGTATTCATACCAGAGGCTTATGTAGGACCCAGAGACAGTGCCTCGCCTACCATCAATCTACCGATACAAGTCTCCCTCTCTGTCTCTCTCTCTCTCTCTCTCTCTCTCTCTCTCTCTCTCTCTCTATCTCTCTCGATGTATTATGCATGTATATGTATGGATACGTATAAATACAACCGCTCTTAAACGTGTATATATATATATATGTATTTATACATATATATATATATATATGTAGAGCCACACGCATACATATGTGTATATATATATATATGTGTTCTTACATATGTAGATACTTACACAGGTAGCTAGGCATAGACAGGCATGGTTCCGCGGCAGACCCCGAGGTTTGTGGAGCCTGGATCACGCTGAGCTCTCCGTGCCGCTGGGTCCCCCGACCTTTGCTCGGACACAAGCTGCCAAACTCTTGGAGCCAATGCCCCACTCCTTGTTGCTGGGACGTTCTTGAAACAATTTTATTCATTTTACTCACAGTAGTTTGAGAAACTAGGTTATATCAATGTCTAATGCCATGCGGGAGCCAACAGTATTTGATGTTTTGACATTACTAAACAGTATGTTCAAGGACGAACACTTACATCGTTAACTGCCCTCCAAGAACGGCCCAGGCTGCTGCAGACGGCCAATGCCCAATTCTTTGCACTTTTGCCCAACATCAAGGTGCCCGTGGGCTCTAACTAAACCCCGAAAGTAGCTAAAACAATGGCCCAATACCCATCAAAGGCTTCTATTCTACATAGTTTTGGGGTCCAGGTAAAACTTATATATATATATATATATGTATATATATATATATATATACATATCAGCCCTGTACCTTATCAATATCCAGGTGGAACCCTAGGGCTCCAAATAGAACCCCAAACAGCACACGACAAGGTCTTGAGGCCCAGAGCCTGAGCTGACTAATTGCGAGTCCCTAGATGCTCTAGGTAGGGCTTTGGGACATTTTATATTTTCCCTTATTGGGTTTAAGAGGACCTTATTTACTAATATTTTTCAAAGGCCTTAGAAGCCCCACATAGTGCTTATACCTTAAGAGTTAACTTACTAGGTTGGATTTTGGGACATTTTTCCTTATTTTGGTTTATAAGGGATTCTATATATAAAGATTGTTCAGGGTGTTTAACGGCCAACCCAGTATAGACTTCGAAATAATTCGTGGTAATATCCTCTGTAGTCATTGTAGTCCTGTACATACTTGACCTAAGGCCCCTGCCATATGGTTGTGGGGTTCTACAGAACGGGCAGCCAGACTGTGTATGTTTCGACCCAATCAGGGCTGTCGGTTAAGGGTTTTTTTGGATTGTACTGCGGGAAACCTGGCTGGGCGAGCTCCAATCAAGCCTGCGTTGAAAAGGGCTTGAGTTCAGGGTTTATAATAGGGTTTAGGGCTCAGGGTTTTTTTGCTTGGAGTGAAGGGGCCGGGCAAGAGAATGACTCAACCAGGTGCACAGACCGCACGTGTCCACAGATCCTTTCTCCACGGAGCTGGTCATGGAGCGCGGCAATACCGATTGGTGGGCAGCTGCAAAGAACAAGACCTTCCTATACCCCATCCATGCTTCGAGATCGTTCCTCCAGACGCCAACGCTTGCGTCGGCTCTGTACATGATGCTTGTACTCCACTTAGCAGTATCCTCATCCGAAGCCTTCAACCCCAAACACTAAACCCTGCACCCTGGGCTGCCGATTCTGCAACGGAGCATTTTGTGCCCCGAAGCAAGTTGACTGTGATCGGTTCGCATGTGTCCAGATGCCAACAGGGTGTAGTGATAGCTTTCTGCGGCTTGCTCTAGGGATTTCGGATGCCAGGTTTAGGATGAAACCCACTATGCGAGACCGAAGCTTCCTCAAACACTTCATCAAACTCTAAAACTCGTATCGTAGAAGCCAGAAAGTTGGAAAATCATTATCCTCATGCCTTTAAGGTAACGTACAAGGGATTATAGCACTAATCCTCCCAAAGCCATGCTCCAACTTTCTGATTTCTACTAGACAGCTCTGAAGCCCTAAGCCTAAACAGCTTCGAGGATGATGTTGCGTTGGATGCACCGGGACTATCGTGGTGTCGCTGGCTTGGTCAGCGCCGTGGGCACGGACAGCAAGTTTGAAGATGACGAGATGCAAATCTTCAAGAGTCTGGGTCGTGCCTGGTCTTTCCACCCTTGTCCTTATAGAAGTAATAGACAGAGCCCTATACCTATATCCCTTAGTAGGAATTAGTTAAGAAGGTCTACTAGCCGGTCTGTTATTTCTTTTGGGAGAACCATGAAAAAGGACAAGGCCGTGCATGCTATAATTGTGTACCCCCACCCCCGAAACTGCAAGCTTTTCCCTTTGGACTTTGGACTGCTGCTGAG